ATACAACCAATTACCGATTGGTAGTATCCTCAGATCATATCCGTATCACTTCCAGCAATCTATGTCGTTGCAAGGTGGTTCATATCAGAAACCTTCTTATAGGAAATAATTTATATATATATATAATATTACAGGTTCCCTATAAAAATATATTCTAAATTAAATATATTAAATTAGATAGTGTCTAAAGTTGAACGATAGGCTGAAGTGAAAATAATTTCAATTCTACAAACTTAAAAATCACATAACTTGCATGACTGCAGCTCTCTATGACTTAACTCAAACAATGACAATTTTCATGAACATCTTTGCCGTTTGACTCTTTAAGTATCTACCCGCTGCAGTACGAATGAGAATTTGAAAAAAGAATTTGTCTTAACGTAATAGGAAGGCCAATGCAGTAGATATCATCAGAGACTTCTAAGACTACTTCATCAATAGTCACAAATTTACTCTCTATCTCTTTAGAGCAATTACATATAAGTTGTTAGACTGAAACAAATAAATAGTTTGCCTACTGCACGCCATTTAGCACCAGTAAGATTACGTTTGATCTAAGTTCCGGGGCTTTACGAGAAAATTGTTTCTACTGCTGTTCAACCTTCAATTGAGTTATACTGTTGAAGCAACAAAATGAACGACCTATTCGGCATCTATCTGTCCTGTTTTAACTAATACATATATATTTTTATACATTTATGGGGTTTTATGCCTCAAACTGCCGTTAAGCATTCATTTGGATGTCATTTAATTACCTGAGGGTAAGCCATCCGTTCTCAGATTATTCATTTTTAGCAATATGTGATACAGAAGCCTATCAAAATACAGGGGACGACATTATCGTTGCGCCATTTTTTTCTCGTTAGAAGTCCGTTATCATTGTCTGCCATGGCAAAGCAAATCAAGTCATAAATGGCATGGAGGGAGCATACCTGACTCGGGTAGCGTATACGTTTATAAACTTTGAATCATTCAGTTTTTTCAAAGTTCTCACTAAGACCGATGCCCGGGTAGTGTTTGTTCAGTAAAGATCGCTGCACCTCGACTAGGCTATAATATAATCACTTGAAAGTAAAGTAGGTTTGCTATTTATCGACAGCTATTAATTTTAACCTCAAAACTGACATAGAAACAGAATGAGCAGGAAATAATTCTTCCCTTAGGGGCCACCATACATAGGGTGTTATAAAGCAACTAAGAAACGTGCTGCGGGCATAAGACTATTATGCTAAGAAAAATATCACAAAGAAGTGGTACAAGTATTGAATAAGGCCAGCTGATTCTCCTGAATTTCTAGCTCCCACACATTGAAGCGTTCAAAAATTTCTATTGAACTTCATTAGTGCAAACTGCGATATTCAAAGCAAGTCAGCCGGGCTTTTTCAATTAATTTGTCCGTCTCCGTTAAGGCTTCTAAAGAAGATATTGTAGGACGTTTCAAGGCAATGAGCCAGCAGGAGGTATTTATTGAGAATTATTATTAAAACATTGATTATTGGATATCTTTAAAAAAATTCATGTAACAAAGGAATAAGTATTGTGGAGTTGACAAGATGAATCGCATGCTACAGCCGAGAGCCGCCATCTTGTATGTATAAGAAAAACAAAATATGATAATACGATATAGTTCCGTTCTGCTTTTGCTGAAAACTCCACCACCTGCAAAAAAATCCAAATGACCGGACAAAGTGAACCTGAGTGAAATACAATATTTGATATTTCGAAACGATGAGAGATTAGATATAATAAATCAATCAGATATAAAACCTGCCTAGGGGCATTTTTTGCAACAACTCAAATAGAGTTAATGCATTTCGGGTAAATGAGTTTAAATGGGGCTGTGTATACTAGTCCTCGGTTACTTGCTTTAATATCGCGCACATAATCTTCATAGTGATTATATGAGAAACAAGATGTAAAGGCGTCCGACTCATTGCCACTTTCCCATATAATTACTATGAAGATTATGTGAGCGATATTAAAGTATATAACCGAGGACTAGTATGTAGAAACTGGGAGCATGAGGTCACTCTTTCATTAGTCAGAATCTAAATGGAGACAGATACTTGAATTTCCGTCCCCCGATAGAAACATTCGTCAATGGCGTGTTTGTTCAATGAAACTGTCATTCGGTTTTTATCAGGTCTCAGTTCGTAACCTCTACCATTTCGACGCCACTTTCGAATATTCCTCCTCCGAACTAGCCAATCATTTTTGAAAATAAAGCTTTATCGATCTGCGTACGCCCATTGAAATCTCGCTCAAGTGTGCTGCACCTTAAATGTTACCAATATAATTCTTGTGCTGATCGTGGGCCTAAAGTCTCAAAATCCAAGGGCTTAAACAGATTTAAAAATCCAGAAAGAGCACATCGGCAATCGATAGTCTTTTCTTGAAAACAGCTGCTAACGTCTGTACTAACATTCTAGTATAATAAAATAATACAGCCATTTTAATTATTTTTTATTCAATTTCTATCACTTTTCTTGTATATGTCCTACGCTGTCCCTCATGGCTAATATTTTCTGATCGTCTAAAAAGAAATCCACACAAAGAACGCAGATGTCGACTTCAAACAAGCAAGGACGTTTTTGACTTCGGTAGAGGTCATACGTGGTTGAATACATACGACAAAAGTTTTTTTTTTTGTTACGTTCCTAAAGTAGAGGTGCAGCTTTCTGTATTCCGTAAGTTTACATTCTATTTGGAATAAGCTTCCTTGGAGAACCACAAATGTCAGATGAAGGCACTTTTTGGAATGACAGATACCACGCGCAAGCTTCTTTCAATAAAAAAGTTCATCTTTACATATTCTATCTGACTTGCTTTAGCTTAAATGACTTGCTGATTCCAAAATATGTAAAATAAAAGGTGGCCTTTACTTATATATATGTATGTATATATATATGCTTTTTTTACACAGTTTTGCCCACAGATAGCACGTTCCACTACTTTTCGTTCTTTTGCGGATGAGTGTCGTCCCAAAACGGCTGACCCCAGCCATTACCAAAGATACAAATAATAACCGCAAAGAATCAGCTCCTAAGCCCACTGACTCCTTATTTTATACATTTTTCGAAACAACCGCCATATTTGTTGGCCTTTTCTCTCCTTATAATTTGAAATATCCAATCTAGCAAAAGGTACAAATAACCAATTAAAGTCATGGTTCTGCAAAGGAGAACCAAGACCAAATGCGATCATGAGCACTATGCAGAAATAGCAATCATAGACCTTTAGTACAAAAAGTCCTTAAGGCTCTCTCGCGTTGTTATTGTAAACGTATCCCTGCTTTTGCTGCACATACGTTTCAATTTCTGCAAGAACCATTCCACATTCGTATATTCGAGAACCAAACTGCATGGAATCGAATTTTACGAAACGGTATAGGCATTGTTGTCGTGAGGTGGCGTTCGCGAACAAGTAAACAAACGTGGTTGACGTTGACTTGCCGTCATTGCACGCGATCTCCTTCATTCCCAACCCCATAATAGATCGATGTCACTAAAATTGCAAACCAAGTGTTCCAAATAGCGAACTTCACTTTGATAACGTGTGGCTGCGTGGTACTCAGGCTATTGAACCTGTAGAGACTTCCGATAACGCAGACCTTAATGGAAAACCTGTAGTTTAATAAAAAGTTGCAGGTTCCCACGAATTTTCACGTTACCAAAGTGACCTCGTTTTATCTTTATCGATTATTAGGTTAAGTAATGCTAAGTACAGACGAAGCAGAGCTATGCGTTGAAATTCATAACGCATGATATCGTTTAGATAAAGAAAATCATGTTTACAGAGAACATACATAGCTTATGTGGTTGCATGTTGAACATCGGTTGAAAGCTGTCCACAATAAAAATACTCGCTGAAAGCTAAAGCATTAGATATCTATTTTCTTTGTGGGCTTCACAAGTACCCAGGTTGACGGTTCAACCTCAATTGAGACCTTCGAACGAGAAAAGCCTAAGCTTACTCATAGTTCGTCAAAACGACTGTTTCTATGACCATATCAAGTCACTTGAGCAGAATATCTAAGTATGGGTAGTTACTAGCCTCAGCTATTTCGCGTAATTTTTACCAGGAATCATACGCTTTTTTCAAATATTATATACAAATATATATCATGAAGATCACGATATATGAAAACAAATCTTTGTTCAGTGTGTAAAGTTTAAGTAAAAATAACACATCACCCAATGGTATATTTGCCTCTCAGCATCACAAACAAGCGCACCAGCAGGAGAGGGAAGACTGTCAAACTAAATATGTACCAGTGACTTTTTGAAAAACAAACAGGACAATATGCAAAATCGACGAACATTGCAATAAACGCTTGATTCATTTTGTTAAAGCAAATCTGTTATGATTCATTAGAAATTTGAAAGTTTTTCAATCATAGCAGGCAGACCTTAAAACTTCTGAGAAGCAATTAGCTTGCTTTCTAAGAGAATCCTTCCGTGACCGATTGTGTCGCTGTCATAAAATGTACACCAGTGTAAAAACGTCATTAGGTGACTGCTTAGGGAACCATGGCCCAAGCTGATGAAGAGGATTAGGATTCAGTGGGTGAGAGTTCCACAGTACCAGACAAAGCACAATCCAGTGCTGTCTGCTCTGCATAATGCATTTGCCCTTAACCTCCAAAGGAAGAAAGGACTGCTTGGAGAATAATGCCACCAGCCACGTCTAAACCTGTACCGGTATCGCATATTGCAGAGAAGCGCACTGAAGTTCACAAACATTTCAATTCTTTAACTCAAGAAACTATTGCACGAGCGACACTATACTCTTCCAACGTTCTTGATCAATTACGTGTTTTCTGCATCTATCCTAATCTTTGGCCGGGACGTAGCTTAAATCAGGGCCTGGCAAAAAGAAGTACAGATTATTCAGAGGAATGAATTCATAATATATAATATATATAATATATAGATAGTAGTAGTGACAACACTTCCGCGTTACACAGTCCGCTTTCCTTTTTAAAAAATATAATGTATGCGTTCCGTTTATTCATAGTTTTATTGACTTAGAAATTTCAATGTATATCTATACAATAAGCTAGTAAGGATAGTCGGAATGAATTTAGCTGCCGTCGGAATATGAGTCAACGCCATTTGTCGTTATGTAGGTCCGCTGTGGCCCTTACCGACAGCTTAATTCGCGCCTTACATATGATATCGTAGTCATAATAATGTATGCGGTTTAATATTTTTGACATATATGTATATATTTCATATGTTGATATCGCAGCTCACCAGGCGAATAGCTGACAAACGCCCCTAAAATAACCACCCCTTCTCGTTAACACATAGCTCAATCATCATAAATACGAAGGAAACAAACAACTGACTAACATTCACTGAGTTATGCAAAGACAATTAAAATAAAGCCTTACGCATGAGAGGAAGCAATTGAAATTGAAGCTGCGTTGTGTCGTTCTTTTGACATATGGAAAATATGAATTTCTCATTCTATGTCATACTTTAGTATTGTATGCTTGTATCTCCAACAGCATAGAATTTTGCTGGCCGCCAGCGTCCATGGCGGCAGACACACAATCATCTAGTATATCTTAATTATGTGTTATTCTCAAATCAGCTATTTCAAGTGTTTATTGTAACTCCAATGGCTCCGTAGAGCCGTTCTGACTACTAGCCACAACTACGCCGTCTTGCTCAGCTATGGCCGCTTCTACACTAACACCGCCTACGGTACTCAGATCTTGAGCTGAATCGGGCTTTGAGGGGGCCTCCTTAATCTGTTCGTTCTGTTCTTGACTGAGCTCTGATTGCTTCCATTCTGGTATGTCTAACGGTATCAATAGTGACTTTTCGACATCTGATTCACGCGTCTCTTCTTTAACCGAGGCATTATTTACTTCCGGTTCGTTACTGGTATTTTCTGTGAAAAGGTTTGAGCAGTTTTCCAATTTTGCCTGTAAGTCGTTGCTTAAACAGCTTCCGCTCGTGCTGTTGCTTAGCTGATCATGTTCGAGCCGATAGGTAGCGGGTGCATAAATCATAGGCTGCTGCTCGAAATTGTCTTCTTCGACGGGCTTTTTTTCGCTGTCAGGTGCCGCATGTCCGTTATAACTTGCAATATCATCGACTGAAAAAACGAAAACAATTGGATGTATGGATTCGCACACAGGTATAATTTAACTATTGGACTACCTCTCGAATCGTTATCCCGCGTTTTTGATTTTATAATAATATTATGCAAATGCATTGTTTATGCTTGAACTAAAGGCACAAATAAAATGTCATAGATAACGGTAACACTTACGTCAGGAGACCTGACGTACCTTTGCCATTGCAGCTTCCGTTTCGGATCCAAAACTCCTCTACCACCTTCTCTTCGTTCGGAAGTAAACGAGATTTGTCAAAACGCTCGAAGAACTCGGAATCGGCTTCGCTGATCCGAAATAATAGTTCCTCTTTCTCACCCTCAGAACTCCACGATTCGTACCTTTGAACAAAGTGATTTCAGACAGAAAACATCTTTATTTTGGCCGAATTATACCGACTAACACGAAGTAGACAAGTCATTAATCAATGACAAATTACACGCCAATGTTGACTGGGGCTCACCATTCTTTGAGAAGATCCATCCGACACTGGAACAGACTTGGAGGTCGATCTTCAAACTTGGCCCTTTTTAGAACTTGGCCGACCGGCAGCTGACCTGCAAATATGAAAAATCACTGTAAACGTCAAGATACTACAATAATTTAACTATAGTGAAATAAACCATGCCACTGCCACAAGCAATCGGACTAAATTATCAATGCGCATGTATGCCCAATAATGTGTTCCTTATATTGATTACGTCAACTTCATATATATATATATATATATATATATATATATATATATGATTGCCGGGGACACAATACAATGGAGAAAAACGGGGAATACAATGGAAAATATTAGTCAACTGACATTACTACGCACCACGGCAGTCAGACTAATCTATTCTATAATAAAATATCAAAGTGATGTCCCAAGCTTTACTAACTAGATTAAATTCAATTCCATCGATCAAAGCTTTTACCAGGTGCGTAGAGCTCAAGCAGTTCTTGCAGGAAGTCATCCTTTTCGATTTCGCTAAATTCACCAAGCCATTGCACGACATAGAGGAGTTGTGATTGAGGCGTCAAGACCCCGCGATGCTGCATCTGTAAATAAGATTCCAGTTAACGTTTTCTTATTCTCTCTCAATTTGGCTTCGCTTTTGCATTGTTAAATCAGCAACTCCGTAACACGGAACCTGTCACTGTCTCTGCAAAGTGAGCCCAAATGATTCGTGCAATATCTCTATATCATTAAATTTCCATTGACTTTATCGGTTATACTTTGACTATTTCAACGTGTGATTTTTTTTAGTGGAATACTACGCACTGACTCAACTAATGGTGGAACATGACCGTAATGCACGGGCTACATCTTCAAAATCGAGATATCTAATAAAGTTTCTATAGTTAAAACGAAGCACTCTTCAGGATAAACCATTTTATTCGACTAGTAATCAAAATAACTTGAAGGCGATCAATAACCGAAGAGATAAGAATAAACAAAACCCTAATACTAAGGTACAATATCCTAGTAAACTTTCCAGCCTTACCCTCAGGCTAGTCTCCCACTGACGACTGTTATAAGATACGCTTCTAAGCTAGCTTTAAGAGTATGCTGTCGATGTTTATGACTATTGATTTGTGCACATTTGGGATGGAAATAGGTCTAGTACATTAAACACCCTTATGCTTCTATCCGTGCTCAGTTATTTCCGTGGCTTGTATTTGCCTGCTGAATATTTTCGGCTGCGTGCTTTAATTTGACCAAGCGATCCAATGAAGTCGGTGTGTAGCGCGGTGCCGCCACGTCCAAATCTTTCCTTCTAAAATGTTGCGCCGATTGTAAAACATCTTCATTATTCTCCGCTGCTCTACCACTCCGATCTAAGAGAAGACTGTAGGCAACTATTAATGCGGCGATAATACAACCACCGAGGATCATGAGGAAAAATGTCCGACATGACAACGGGATTCGCGATGCGGGCGTAGTTATTGCCGCATGCATAGTCGTCTCGGTCATCTCCGTCCGTGCGAAACGAGCTACGATGAAACCGCAAGAGACGAGCTAGGGAATACGTATTTTTTTTAATACGCAAACTCGACGAGTGATAAGTGAATCACCTTATCAGAATTGGCAAATCTTTTGTGTTAGTGCTTGGCTTCCTTGAAGGATCAACGTATCGAGGCTGAGAGCCTACTTTCAATACGGCCAACGGTGTGCAAATAGCCCATGTATACGAGGAAAAACAAAAACAGCCACTTCATTATTGTCAAGACTTTCGGCTCTGTCGGAATTTTAGCTCAAACCTCTCGTTCGAATGCATGTATTGTATTGCCGTCGAGTGTTTTAATTTTTAACAATGATGTACGCAACATGGCAAACACACGTGCCTAATTATCTGTCGTTTAAAGCGCACTGTAAAGCGCGCTCTACTTGTTTACATATTCATAAATATTATATATATACACTCTAACGGTACTATCTTAAAACGGCGGGGCTGATTCTTTTTTTAAGTTCAATTAGTATTGTGTATTTGTTTACAAGTTATTTATTCATAAAACACGAGGATATGTCGGATGCAGGTCAGCTAACTCGACAAATGCTAATACAACAACAGATGCAGGCGCGTCGACGATTCTACCAGGTCCAGAGGTATTCTCAGAACAATTCTCACACCAACTAATCAGGTCAGATCTATCAATTGGCGAGCAAAAGTATAACGAAACGTGACAACTACTGTTGGCTGTCTTCGAGGGCTTTCGTGCAAATGGAACATTAGGAATACCTGTAAATAAAGGCTCTTACCTGACACTTTCGCATTGGACTGGTTAATTTCGTTTCGGCAGTCGAAGATAAAATATCTATTATTCGGACTTCACATGCAACTCTTCTTAATTACGTGTGTTGGAAATACTTATACACAGATTGTAATTAATTATGAGAAATAAACCAATTCTTAAAAGTACTAGATGTTCTAGAGATAGAAACAGTTATTAATGATGCTCTCATTTAGCATGCTTGAACAAACCGTAAATCCTTTTGGTCTTCAACTGTGCGATCAGACAAGGCCAAGGCTCTGTCTGAATCTGTGCAGAAGGACAGGATCTTGAGCCGAAAGTTCGGTGATAAATATGTGTTTTTCTTCTGCGCTCCAGCCAGCAAAATACTGGTCAAACAAGTTTATCTGTAACAAGTTACGTAGGGATAATAATAAGCAGATTAGGGCTTCTAAAATGTGCTCCGTTCTTAAGTCCTCCCCGAGCAACACAGAGCCGACTGGGCAAATATTTTTATCTATCGAAAACATCCCCCATTGAGTGTATTGTTAATTCGGTTGGTGGCAAACCGAGGTGGAAATTTTTTCCCCATTTTCCACCTGAAGACACAACGACGCACCGCTGGTGAAAAACAGCGAGAGGATCGCGAGTTGCAATCAAATGTACGAATGTAATATTTTTGTGAAGGTTGCACTTCATTTAATGAAGTGCGCTCAACGTGTATTGCATGAGCAACGGTGTTTAAACTATATTGTGGAAGAAGTTAGTTGGTTATAGCTATTGCGGAACAACTGGCCGGTGTTCGATGTTATTTCTACTATAAATATAATTAGCTTTTTACGTCTACGCAATCAAAATACGTTTATTAGAAAAAAGAGGCACGTAGCAGAAGCCTGCGAGTGACGCTGGAGCCGGGCTGCGGCGACACCAAGATCGTACTGTTGTCGTATTGCCGTTACCGTAAATCCAATATTGTATGCGCTTGCCTATGTGAAACGCTGCGTTCTGTGTTGCTTACAAACGGTTTGTACGTCAGTTGATGTGAAGCTCATATTCGTAAAACCAGTATAAAAAATTGTAAAATCTTTAGCGTTAGTAATGTCCCACGAAACAAAGTTAATCACCCCCAACCGACGCACATCAAACAGTCAAATAGAGTCCTTATTTAACATATTATTCAGTAATAAAATTTAGAGAAAAAAAAAGAAAACTTTTTGCACTTTGGTAACGTACCAGCAGCAGAGTCAATACATCAACAGAAACAAAGTTATCATCAACATTTGATGATAACATATCAACATTTGATATGTGTAACTACTTACTATAGAAAAAAATTATCAAAAACCTGGAGGGATAGATTTAACCATTATTTAATATAGTGTGTATAGAAATTTTTAAACATAATTTTTGATGGCGCCTTGAGAACGGCGTTAATCGCAACGTCTATTAAAAGTCGGACAAAGGCGTCTCGGTCTGCGTACGATCTTCATAAGTCCGTTACCAACCCACCCTATTCACATGCGTTACAGTAAACGGAGCCTACCAACAAACATTAAACATGTTGCGTAATCACGTTATAGAAATACACCAAAAACACACTTATCATGAGCAAAATAAATCTAGAGCCAACTGGGCCCCCAGCGAGCATAGTACAACAGGTTGATGAAATAACCGCAAATTAGGTGAGATAGATAAAAGCATGCTATATGAACAGACCTGGCACTGAAATGTGTCAGAAGATTCCGATGTAGTCCACAGAAGGTCTAGCTTTTCGCACAGTTCTAATGCAGGTGATCTCGGTACGTAGAAGCCTCTGCAAGAAAAATAACTTCTTTTATTTTCCATTGAATGACAGTGACTGTAGATCTACTAAAATGATACGCGTTTCCGTGTTATCGTAGGCATGTACGTAAAGCGTTCGTACGTATGTCTGCAAACATAGCGAGCGTATTTTAGATTTAGTTTTTTATTCGTATTCTGTAATGTGCATGTAATGGAATAATGTTGTCGTCGTAGCTTAGCAAATAACAAATTTGGCTGTTAATCCTAGAAACATGTGGTGGTCCAGATTCAAGTTCAAGCATGGGAACACTTTGTTTTGGGCTGAAAGCCAGAAGTGCCGGACGTAAAATTCAAAACAAAAGTGTAATAATGTTATAGACCTGAGATGATTCAGGAATTTGGAACGCTGCTCAGTCGACCACAGTATGAACCAATGGAGCACAACACGAACTTCTAGAGAGAGCGGTTCTGGAGACAAATTTGACGAAGGTATACTCGACATCAGGATCTGGAATGCCAATGAATAAAGATATTGGTAAACTATGGAAATAATTGGAAATCTGCCTAATCTTAATGCTCATTATTGGCTAATTTTGATTCCTTAGGGCTTTCTAAGGTATTTTTTTTTATTTGTAAATAGTTATTGTGCGCGACATTTAGTTATTCTCATGTGAGAAACGTACGATGATACCTGACAATTAAGTCAGGCATTTTTATGTCGATTTATTCTTAGAACGACCTTCACAGGGGGCGCTATGTCATGAAGTATTTTAAACAAGTTATCCTAATAGAGAAACCAAAAAGAATATTGATTGCTGTTGACATATACACGAATATTATTTTTGACTGTTCCATCGTAATGTTAAACACTTAACAAAAAATATGGCATACTATTTATTGTTCTGACAATGAAATGTGATTGGGAAATGCATCTCATCGACAAAAATATTAGCGCTAATAAAGGTGTCAGTAGATAGTAGTCTTCTATTATTGCCCAAACCAGCATAGAAAACTGTTAGAATAGTATCACAAATGAAAGCGATTTTCTAGAAAGAATCAAGCGATCTTAAGAAAATCGTACAATGTTGCACCTGGCCATAGATCATAAAACGAAAAGGTTACCTTTCTAAGCCCTTTCTGAGTATTGTCCATTTCAACTAATCTGTACTGGAGCTCTGTCTAAAACAAGCTGGTGTTTTAGATTTATCTAGGTTATAGCAAGTTCGAAATTGACTATTGCAGACGATGTATCCGTGTAATATTTCGGCCAGAATCGTCCAGTGACTAGATCATGGGCTAACAATAGTAAACACCTAATTCCTAGTAATAAAACTCTAATTTCTAATAGCAGAAGTAATAGTCGGCACTCAGCTCCAATTCTGGGGCCCATAACTGTTCCCACTTTTATAATAAGAAACGGCTCAACAAATTAGTGCAAAAGAACCAATAAATAAATTTCCATTCGACTTAATACGTAACTGTTCGCAATGTTTTACCAGTTCTATGACTACTAGCTTTAGATAGATTACCTCAATGGTGCCACAAAGTTAAAAAAAAACTTTTACGAATTGCGCACATTGGAACCACCTCAGTGAGGTTCCTATAAATTAGAATGTATAACATGTAAGCAGATGTCGTACCCTGCACAAAAGTTCGTTCGTTTGCATTTGGCGTGTTCTCTAATCGAATGCTCATTTCATACGGTGCATTGCGGTAAATACAAATGATCACGACAACATAAATTGTACGTCTCTAGTCCATTTCTAATAACAAAAAGCATCGCTATTAAAACTCATTCTTTTGTGTAACTAATCATGGATGAAGAGTCATTGTCAGTAGATATAAATAAAGACTTCCAGATAGTTATTATCAGTCAGCATGCAAAAGATCACAGCTCGGACCAACTAACCTCATCCCTCACAATGGACTAATATCCTATTCGACGCCAACAAAAAGAGTGAAGCTTTCATGTTTGACAAGAAGCATTCGACTAGATGCCCCCTTTACGCACATATGAACCAATTCAAAATTACTCTTCTAATCTTCTGTGTGGTTCGTTTTTGAGTATTTTCGAACTTATAATAAAATAGATACAATTGCATCGTTCGTACGAAAACCACGAAGCTGATGAATCAACTACTGTGCATTCAGTTTATAAACACTATAGGGAGCAACCTACAGATTGTGAAACATCTGATTCTCCCACCCAAAATACCGATTCTTAAAACCTCAGATGATTAAAATGTGCATTTAGGCCTCTTCCAAATAACTTTTAGAAGTCTTAGCCCTGCAAAAATTCGCTACACCATGATGGCAAGAAACTGTTACAACGACACTGTGTTTATCATGTTGACTGATGATCAGGTCCTTGGTTGCTCTGCGTACTGCATCTAGTGTCATGAGTCTATCAGCAACCAATCGCATCCCAACAGTGCGAAACAGGCGGAGCTCAGCAGTTAGCGTTGCGTAGCAGCTTGCGATCTGGCAGTGGCCTCGGTGTGTTTTTAGGGTGATGCCAATAACTTACTGTTTGCAAAGAGGAAAATAGTGAATGTTCACGTTCGATCAAAACATTCGCTCTATGCCCAGTGACAAGTGTCGTGCGAAAAGTGCTCCCAATTTTGATTTTTGTTTCCCATTTATGCCATTCTACAATTCCTCAAGAACAAAGTAAGTTGGCAGGTGCCTTACTTCGACCTAACAAAAAAAATGACAGATGTCGCGGCCCGGACAGAATCGACGTAAGGAAATGCGACAAGCTGCCAACAAACAACTTTGATTCAGGTCGCTTGCGATGTTGCTAGCCGTACGGGATTTACCAGCTTTTGTCAATTTGATGTGGGACGTGTTAGTTAATTAAAGCTAGAAATTTGTCGGCGACGGAGGCTATGGGCCGACGTTGCGAGATATTACACACTGTTGTGATGCTGCGCACTCGTTCACCTTTTGACTCTTTATGCTATTACAGTTGGCTAATAAATGATGTGACAGTTACTTGATTTTTATACCGTTTGATTAACATGCCAAAGAAGTAGGTAACACTTTTTCGAGGACAATTCGCATTTTGGCAGGTATACAACCGTCTGACCTTAAATCGCCGCAGAGTGTTACCATGATACCATTTTGCCCAATCTATTAATCATATGAATACCTATTTATACCATGTTGACAATAGTATGAACTGTCGAAGTCATCATGTTGAAGGTAAAGCACCTGAGGTCAGGATAATTATGACAGGTCTTATGAGTCATCGTATAATTCAACACTGCTTAGAAATCAAATGGATTTAAGTTTCGGTTTTCATATATATAAATCTTTGCCAGCTTTCCTTACGTGTCATTAGGTCAGCTATTGAGTGGGGTACATCGCATGTGGCATGATTATGCTTGAGTACGACAATCCAATTGTTGTTCTATGACTAAAGTGATGTAAACGCATATTTTAGGTAATCTCCTGCGCGTTTCTTAATCCGACCGCTGCAAAACATCTCTTGTATTTTTATACGCCATATATAAGTTGTCGCAAATTAGCCAACTTATACCTATCCAGTGTTATGAAGTTGTTCGGACAACAAACTTGATTTAAATAATACTGAATTTCTTTTCATTGAATGGGTACAACCGGCTCATTATCGATATAACTGACTTTTCCAATAGTGGTGAGTCATCCATCAATTTTCTTGTTGCGGCTGCTGCTGCTGCTGCTACCTGTCGCACTATCAGATATCGCGGCGCCGTTCAAACGAAGCTTATCTGGATTTCTATTTTAAACCCAAAGCGGAATACATTTTAAAATTTTTCATAATAATAAGGTTATGTTTGTTAGCAGATTTGGCAATCTTGCTGCCTTTTTTTTTTGTAAAAGCAGCGTGATCTATAGCTAACTTCTTTACCAAGCAAGTAAGTTATTGCGTTCAAATGAACCTTAGACAATTTGAATACGTTCTAAGAATACCATTGCAACTCTAACATGTAGAATTTATTCAAAATAATATACCCATTAAAAACAAGACTAGTAATGTACATTGTATTGCACAAAAGGACCTGGTACAGGCCACGAAATCGATACGTTAAGACATTTTCCGTTAGCACTTTGTTTTTAGGTTAAAGTTACTGTTTCAGATACTCGCATTCAGTCGAAACAATCTTATACATAACTCTTTTCGACATGAGACAATACCTAGTTTTGGCTTTCACAGCTAATGGAAGCATATGCGATACTGAATGTGATATCATTATTAATCGCATTTTAATCCGTTAGACTGATACTAGACCGGATAATGAGCAATGTGATAGGCCGCGTCCACTTATTCGCGTATGGGTATCACGTGAAAAAAGGATACATGTTATATGTTGAAAGGACAACTTTGATATACTTTATTTGATCGTTAATCATTGCGATTTCTTTAATAACCTCCTCTATTTATGGAGATTATGTAATATGCTTTATTTTTTATTCTAATCGTGCGTTCTTTTACGTATACACGTTTATATAGAACGAGGCTGAAAAGAAGCTGCTAAGTGTATTTCGGATCTGGAAACCAAAAAGGCATTAGCGCTACTCATTTACGTGGTCGACCATCATGGAGCCGTAGCAAGCGATGGTCGAATTTGTTAGTGGAGATATCTGACTTACCACATAAGCAACTGTACATACTTGTGCAATATAACTTCAATACGAAACATTATAATAAGCGCTATACTTTGAGTAGTTAAACCAAATTAGGATCGGTTTACCGCTTATGGGATTACGGAGAAGTAATCACATTTGTATTATGTTTTGATCAGTCATCTTAGATTGATCGTGGGTAGAGTATACTGTCTATATCGCCCATCTGAGAACCATCAGTCAAGCAAGAGCGTTTTACACAGTTGTTTAGCTTCATTATCATTTTGTCTAAACTTGTCCTGTCGATATAACTAGAACCAGATGCCTCACTTTTAGTCTGGCAGTTCCTATAGTATGCATAAGATGAACACGTCTAGTTAACTAGCTGAAGTATTAGCAAATGCCGAAAAGACACATTCTATGGACTTACTTTTTCCCGCCTTACAGTTTTATGTAACCATAGAAGTTATTTTTTTCCTGACAAAATGGTAGGAATTGTTGTGTTCGCACATTCCTTGCTATTTAACTTCAATGTCTTACAAGACAGTGTCAGGGCGTCCGGTGGAGTTTAATTATTTTATTTCGAAATAAATAAGCTTAATTGTGTTTTCGATTCCTGTCTGCTACCTACTCGTTCTGACATTTGGATTGAGCATTCACATTCTATACCGTAGGTTGCCATATAGCAATCAAATACGATTTTCGCATGTCCCAGTATGATGTATCGTATGCCTACTAACCGGCCTCAGCTGTGATTATTTGGCCTGTGTAGGAATCGAGTTTGCCTACCTATTAAACACGCGAACCCAGTGCGCCGACGCACATGCATTCATAAAATGATATACTCTATAGCAGGCTTCCTAAGTTCAAGTTGATTCGAATGTTGAGCAAGAAACATGGGTGGCGTTATCTGACTACCATTCGCTCTCTGAATTTTGAAACGTTACCTTTTTATAATACCGCTAAACGTACTAAAGTAGTATTACAAAACGTTTTAACTGCGGCGGTGGTAGATATAGCTTAAGAGTTCGTGGGAAACTGACTGATGAAAGTTTACGAATGAAAATATAAAATGTACTCATTGTGTTGTTTTCAGTGAACAATGCCTTAGTGCTCGTTTCGTTATACGGGGCACGATTATTAACAGCGTTGATTAGCTGATATATGTTGAAGACTGATCCTGTTGTTAAACGAACGTGTAATTGGTTCGGGAAAAAACAAACCTATTTTGTCGAACTGTTCAGTTAAAAGAAGTTAGCTTTAAACGTCCACTGAAGCGCTATGAATTAGCGTATGCTCCAGTCAAAGTTTAACATTAATTCATTCGATTAGGTTTTCTCAAACGCTACAAATTGGCGAAAATATGTGAGTATGGAAAAGCAAAAACCCGAATATTTTATGTTCAGCTACTAATAAACACGCATACATGTGAAATAGCGTACTTAACATCTCTCGTAACTTTTGTCACACCTTTTTAGCAATAGTCCGGATTAACTAAATGCGACGTGTTGCTGATTGCGCCTTCACAAGAGCGTGGTAGAAACCGCAACAGGATCAGACAGGATTGCGGAAGCTGTCAGCTTTGAAATGCCGAAATTAGAATACGCCGCTATTTGTCGGGGCTATACAGTTCTAGTTAGCTACCAGGACGAAAGGGGGACTGAGAATGCGGAACGGTACGAAAGAGTAAACAATTATCGTGCTTTAAATGATACTATGGAATATAATTATATTCAAAATTATTACACTTTCAGCATTCGGTATATAGATTGGCATTCACAGGGTAGAAGTAGTGTTTCGTTCCAAAAATAGGCCATGTCCTACTTATATAGATAATAATTAATGGATGAATAGTATCACTATAAATAGTGACACTATTCATCAATTAATTAAAGTGTGTACTGTTTTTCTATTGCGTATTCAGATACCTGACAGACTTCTTGTGTACGTTTAGCACCGAAACTGACATAAAGGCGTCGTTTTATGGCGGTAGGTGAGTATATCATTTTTGATTTGTAACACTAATACGGCCCTACCCACGTTCCAGCGACCCAATACATTTTAATTAATTAATTTAAAATGTATGCAGGCCAATTGTATGTTTTAGTTGAGTAGTCTTTCGGGTTATCTCGGCATATTGAAATGAACTTATCGAGATCTGATTCGTTCCGTTTGGACTTGTCGTGTTCGTGTTCTATAGTGCGAATAAGTGACAGTGCAACCAAGCAAAGCATGGCCTGGCATTATTTCATATATGTAATACTGTTGTAAATGTATAGCTAATAGTGATTTACGGTGTTTCTTGTTTGTCGCCTTATTGCAGCTTCAAGTTCCATCTTGAGGTTCAATCAGGGGTGGTGTTTGCCTGCGGAGCCATCCCAGAAGCGGGGGTACGATTACCATTCCTGTTTTTAACTGAATTGTCCAAAAGGTACCTACCTATACACAATAGATTAGTTCATGTCAAATCGAACTGTATACTGTGATTTAAGAAACAAATGCTTTTGGTTCAAATCAAATGCTGTTCCCATACCTTTATCAGGTTCAACCTCACATCGCTTCCCTCACGAGCATACAACGCAGAAGAGCATGAATTCGATCGGGAATTCAAATTCGTTATAAAGGATATATTGGTAAGGATCTGTGGTGGCTAACTTTTGGTGGTGATTTTTTTTACTGTATACATCTACGCCCCTTCTGATCATGTTTCCTTATTAGACTGTTTGAACTATGATACTAGGCGCTTTTTGATTGCGATGTCTACTGAAAGTCACTCACAATGCATCACTCAAAAACCCTATTTGTTCGCACCTATGCAACCTTCTACAATATATATAGTTTATAAAAACGTTTTTTTAATTGGACCGTTCATTAATGATGACAACTTTTAATTATTTTCTTTAGGACAAGTTCAACTCTGGTAATTCCGGCGACCCACAGCAGGTCATACAGGGACAGGTACGATGACAAAGAGAGTAAAATTCACTGTCAGTGTAATTTGCTTTTAGACATGCAATATCACTTTATTTGAACGTAAGCAATTGTAAAAATACATTGACATAATTATTACCATTAGCTTGATTACTAAAGAGACCCAAAAGGACACTTACGAACCTCAAGGGTTGTTAGCTTCAAGCGACAACTAAGAGCTGTTACCTGTGTTGGATCATTCTCAGATATCAATACCTGAGAAGGTGCACGTGGTACAGGTTAACAAGAAAATACGTTTTGTGTAGTTTATTTACAATATAGAAAAATAAAATAGAATATTTATTAGCCTTCGTTATGCAGTGTTCAATTATTAGTCAATTAGGAGTTAAGCGATTCATCTATATTAGCTAGATCGTTTACGCCAGCTTTATATTTATATCTGTCGTGTTATCTGGACAACTTGTTGATATCTCTATTATGTATTGTCGCAGCTTCATTCTGTGGAGAGTATTATGCACCAAAACATCGCGAAAACTCTAAAGAGAGGAGCCCAACTTGAAGACATTGTCGCTCAAACAGAGGCACTTGAAAATCAGGTATCCAGTTCCTCTATCTTTCCTTTTATTATAAAGGATATTAATTTGATCATGAGTGAAAAATTAGCGCTAGATATTTAATATTCTAAAGATAATGTATGTCTCTTCAACTACAGTGTACTCTGCCTTGGATGCCGATTTAATTATTTACGTTTTGCTACCTTAGATGTCGACCTTGCGGTATGGCTTTCAGCTCTTTCTACTTTTGTTTTTCGTTGCTTCACGTCAATGCAGTTTTACCACGCAGAATAGAAAAGACCCAAAGACTTGACTCTATTCATGCAAAAAATATTTCGTTAGGATGTTTCTCGCTCTCCTTCTTTTAAATTCGAATAATGATTTTCGATCGCTCTTTGTTTCATCTTTTCGACGACTCTATCAATTCAAGACTTAGAGGCAAGACGTCTCGACTTCCATTGTACCACTTGTGCTACGATGCCTGTAGCAAAGATAATTCACCGTAGGCCTTCTTAAGAGATTCAGCTATTTTACGAGAGACATGAAATCTAAACCAGAACTTTGTTAGATATGTCGTTATATGCTTTTGAATATCGCAAGAGTAGACTTGAAGAATTAATCAAATGGAGACTGTAAATATTACCAAGTAAAAGATAAGACAATCAATTAGGTAAACACATCGAACAAAATGTGACGATCTCTGTTAAACAGCTTTGAAACGGATTACTCAACCACAACGGATTACAATTCCCGTACCCATATCAGAATATATTCAGATTGTCTTGTTGAATCATTGTGCTGAACGGCAAATATACATTTGTCATCTTATATCATTACAATGAATAAGAATTTTATAGTGTTGGTTATGTGAATGTAGTGTATTGTAACTTTTGTTTAGTCTGAATATATATTTTCGAGCAATCTTGACTTCTTATCAATAATTAATGATTACTAGGAAGTTATCGGTAACTATGGGCGTTCAACTGTGGACAAAGTGTAAGCACTAGCACTCTAACGTGAAAAATACGACTAATGTATAATCAACATAACGCATTTTATATTTACTACAGAGTTTGACGTTCCGCACTCATACGGTCCGTGTGCGACGCGCTATGTGGCTTCAAAATGTTAGGCTATGGATTATAATCGGAGCTATAGCACTGGTCGTTATCGTTCTGCTTGGTCTCTGGATCGACGGAAAAATCTAAGCACCCAGATCCACAGGCGGATTTATCATAAGCATACACACATCGGAAACAGTAATACCTGCTCTTTTTTTGCTTCACCCACAAAAGTCAAATAGCTCCCCCTCACTGCCAGACCCTTCAATCCACAATTTTGACGCTTGCCACACCTAATCCGCATCATCATATAGGACTGTGCATGAACAAAAGTACGAACCTTGTGACGTAAACCTCTTACATATACATGTATTTTTATATAGTTCTTCTGTACTGCGCCTACATTGGTTTACCAATTCAAGAGCTAAGAGACATTGCATTGTGATTTGGTGTAAGACATTTCAAAAACTAAAATTGAGCTTTCCCTACAAACTAGAAGTACAATCAGTCGTTAACTACACATAGGCCGGACAAAGAGATATAGAGGCAAATCCCAGCCAGCGACAAACAATACCTAATTATACATCCTAAAACAGGGGAATCATGAAAGCAATATAAAAATATGCTAAGTGACAAAACCGAAGTATAGAAAAAAAGAAAAGGTTAACAGGGTTCCTCGGTGAAGAGAGCTGCTATCAAAACAAGCATTGGATGACGATGTAAGAATCACCAGAGCAATGTACTCGAAATATTTAGCGTAATCTATGTTGTTGTCCTTATGATAATTCCGCGTCCGTAGGTACGACAGAGTTTCAAGTAAACATACGAAAAAAATACAAGTTTATCTAATACACTTTGCATTCAGACAAAAGAGAAGCAAAAAAATAAATTAAATATTATTACGGGGCTGTAACATCTGGCGTGAAAGGTTAGTGCTGTCGTTGACTAGTCGTGCCGAGAGTTTCCTATAAAGATGCACCATTAGATTTCACTTGAGTGTGCGTTTGGGTATATATGCAATGAGGGACTAGGAAATTAAGTAAGGGACTAACTACTTAAATGTGCAGCAACCAAGGTGCTACTTATACTCTGGGTGCTGCGCAAGCAAGTAATACAGTGAAGCAAGTGTTGAACGAGTGAACTTAACGAGTAACGGAAAAAAAGTAGTAACAAAGTAGATTAACAAAGTCATTATGTGAAATGTTGATAAAGCAGACGAATCTGCTACAGCGCTATATTAGTACTATGTATAATCAAACACTACAATTCAGATGAAAGCCTGACGTTTGTTTAAGCCCATTTGCTTTTAATGAAAAGAAAATAAAGGAAATATTTGTTATTAATAATATTACTAGTAATAATATTATAATAGTAATAAAAATAACATGTTATACATGTGTATGTGTTTTCACTGTCGTGTTATTTTTTGATATGCTACTGCTTTAATAGTTTTCTTGAAGTATTCGGCGGTTATGCTGCCACAACGCACCACATTCACCATTGTAAACAGCGTCCCGGAATTAAGGGTGCTTACGATTGCATAATCTAACCAATTTTCCATTGGTGTTTAAGTAATTTCATTTACAATATGTTTGCGTAACGAACGTTATTGACGACCACTTGCCATTTTATCGAGATGTTGTTGCTAGGGTATTAAAACGATTACGCTTCTCAATTAAAGTAAATATACAAGAAGTAAAAAGTATCTGAATTTCGAGATTTTCACAGCTCAAACATATGTAAAAAAAAACAAACGATCAAATAATTTTTCAAAGAAAAATGAATTTTTAATAGAACTAATTTTTATTTCAAAAATCTATTTTATGATAGTTGTCTCCTGTCGTGAAAAATATAGAAAAGTCTACATTGGAATGTTTTCGTAATGTTAACTGTTGTTAAGGTACTCGTCTCAAAACTTGGAAAAAATTTTATGCTGAAATTGGGAATTGGCCTCTTGGTGAAAAACTAACGTCCTTAGAAAGAAGTGCTATCATTTTTAAAGTAGAAACTCTAACATGCCAACTAACCTAAACACTTAAAAATAAAGCATGTTAAGGCTTAGAATATTAGGACTATAGGTAGAAATATACTGTGTGCAAAGATCGAAAAACGAAAATTGTGCAAAGTAGACATAATACACCCCATAATATAAACTTCAAAAGTTCACGTCACTTACTTTAATTTGCGCTTCAATTCGTATCGTACAAATCGAAGGAGAGAAGATCTACATTTCGAATGAAATCAATACTAGAGCATTTTTCCTGTGTGCAGGCAGCTATATTCAACGAGCCGTATGAAAAAAAAGTGAAGAATACCTTGAAAGCTGCGACACATACGGAAAAAATTATTTCTACTTCTCGTTGATACCGTGCATGAAATCGTTGACGAGTAATGGGTTGAAACCTTGAGCACCAAAGCAATTTCCTAGTATGTTAGGCTTGGACAATTTTGGTTTTTTTTAAGTGGATGCACACGTGTGGTTGTGTTACGTAATGAGGAGTTAGGATACCTAACCGGATTATAAAATCGATTTTCTTAACATTTGTGTCTTATTGACAAATATTCGATTCTTATATTATGGTCATTTTAGCCGATGCAGCTCCATCGGAAACATCAAAAAGCATATCCTGTGGATCATGATATGTGGGGCGAACGGTAAAAGCTATCGAATGCAGAGGAAAAAAAAATGTTAAATGTTCTGCAAATTGGAGCTTCTGGAATTTTTTTGATCAGTCGTAACAGTGTACAAGCGGAAAAGGTGAACACAGGATACATAGGCTTTTCAACCAATAGGCATAGTGTTTTTCCATACAGAACATAGCACAAAGCACTACTTAAATGCCAAAATAGTACGTCCTAAACTCGAACGATAGGCACAATCTGAAAAACAATGGGTAAAACAAGTGGTCACAACAGAGGCACTACGAATTACCAATGATTAGAGGCAGAATGTAAACAGCACATATAAGCTGACAAATAAACCTCTTCCTCCCTCTAGATACAAGCATATCTAAATTATATAGAACTAGGCTATGAAGAAGTATTAGGCTTCGTGTGGCCCATCTGCGACTTACCAGGAATAGAATCTGACTCTTCGGTATTTTTTTTTTGCTATTCTGGTATATTGGTTCTGCGCTGTTAAAAAAGAATTTTTAAAGCAAACATGTGAGCCAAGTGTATCTGTACATATTATGTAAAAAAAACATGCATACATGCATACATACATACGTACATACATGTAAAAAAGAAAACCTGTACAGACGTTAAATACGTCTTACCAGCGTAAGTTCGCGTGAATGTAACAGACGATACATTTGGGATAGATCCCCACAGAGACCCAGACACGCTGAATTGGGAACTTGTTGGTGAAACCCGGTTAAATCAAATATGCTTCTCTTTTTATATATATATGTTCTCACATTTATATATATATATATACACTCATATATGTACAGGTTCGTTCTACTCAACAGATGTTAAATGCTCTCTATAGATTACTTCAGGTAGACATTAGTAAGCAAACTTCTTACATCAAATGCAACGGCTTATCTATTTCCATAAATGTGAATCCTATATTATAGGGGCTGTTAGGGTCCGAGTTCGGAACATAATAACAAAAGGTAAATAATAATAAAAAAAACGTAAAGAAATAACCACATTTCCGCATTTTCATTGCAGTAAGTGTCAGTGCATTACAGCTACATATATAACTATTATAAAAGAGATAGTTGTTCGTTACTTTAAAGGCGATAATAAACGTACAAATGAACACACTAATTTTCTGAGCAATGTAAAAACCTCAATCATCAAAGCAACCTCCGTTTTGATATATGGGATTTTTGTCAGGCTGCTCACCAATCCGCTTGCCTAAACATTATGGACCTTTTAAATTATAATAGTTGGAGTTCTATTTTCCGACTTCCGTAACTTTCAAGAGTTAATCTCCGACAAACAAATTTTCGAAAGAAACCGACCCAAACAGGTTATGGCCGGAAGGAGCCGCATTTGGCGAATACATCTTGATCCAAAAAAATTGAACAAAATTTGGTGTTGAACTTCCGAACCCGATCGGAATATTGGTTTTTACTACCCTCAAAACGTTACTGTCATGCAACAAGATTATTTCGCGACTTCTTTGATCGGAAAAGCCTTAAAAACTCGAGATACAGCACTCCTTTCATACCTCATCAAACACGCCAGAGGACCATAAATACCTTGCTGGCTGGTCAAGACATGAAACTGAGTTAACAAGGGGAAGTGTGACAGTTAACCGTATATGCTAATTCTATTTATGGGAAACCCATTTTCCTGTTTTCTCATCTTTTCCATAATGTTCAAATGATTCGAAGCTGCTTGTTGATTAACTGATTAGCAAGTTCCTGCTCAGTTAGGTTTAATTCTTACCCAACAATGGCAAAAGTTTCTTATCCTGTAGCGCATCGGGATCTGCAAGCCGTGAATAAATCGGAGTGAAATTTGCTTCACGGAATCTGGCAAACAATAAAACACTCGTACAGATTTGGGTTAATACGTTATGTTACTTGTTTAATACTTATGGGCATTTGTAAAACTGAATAGCACAGAGTGACTGAAAAGACACCGTCGGTACTATTCGAACGTCTATTCTGCTGTCAACAGGTCTGAAGTACCGCTTAAAGGCAATAGCAGCAGACGTAAAACCACAAACATTTAGATACGGCTAACAGAGTAATCATATGTTTGAAAAGACGTACAGTGTTTTTAAAGCAGGCCATCGCCCAAATTTTCAAACGATCGTCACGTGTTTCGAAGTGCAAGTGTTAATAGATAGCTTTCTTTATTGCGCAGATCATGCAATATTTTATAAGACGTTGGCCAGACTTCAAGCAACGACTACTAAAAAACGCTCAGAATATAGGATAATAGTGAATTTGGATGTCCAATGCATGAGCTTTAATTTGTACATGTTTTGAAATTTGCTGGACTTTTTTTTTTACCCCAACTCTTGGTGATTAAAAAAAGATTAAAAAGCGTATTTTTTCACCCGACTGCTTTTTCTAAAATTGGCGGCTTAGTCCCGAGCGAGTTCGCCAGACGCCGCCATCTTAGTTTAGCTAACAACAACATTAAATGTTCCGGTTTCGTTCTTTCCCTTTAGGCTGCGAACATGGTAGGTTCGTGCACCGAGAAAATCTGTAAAAATCACTCAAATCTGCCAGTCAGGCACACTCATATCTGTCATTATTGACACTCCGGTGCCTCGATTAGTACGTGCAAGTACAAAAGTTCAGTAATTGGTAGTGATATCGAGTGAAAATGTGGTGTTCGATTTTACAAAATATGCAGCTATCTGGTAACCTGTGCTTTCTAACGTAAATACTAGAAATTGCAGTTCTGACCTGCAGATTCAATCATACAGTCATGCACATTACTCCACTAGAGTCGCCATTGAATAAATCAATTCCGTTTAAATAATGTTATTGTAAGATTTGTCTACAAATGGTTTTGTTCTTTGCAGGCTCGCGGACTTAAGAAACATCTAAAACGTTTGAACGCACCAAAGTCATGGCTTTTAAGCAAACTCGGAGGAGTCTATGTAAGTAAGGCCTGGCTGAAATATATCATCTCTGTCTAGTTTATCTAGTTTAATTTAATGTTGAAAATTATTGAAATAAGATTAGGTGTTGAAACAACCTCACTGAACTTGCTTTTTGTGTGAAATATGGCATCCGTATTGTCCATTGTTGTTAGTGCTGCATTACCGTCGACTTCTTGAACGAAGAACTACTGGCATTAAAACGATAGGCAGAATTTTATCAGAGTTTACAATTACGAAGTAATGTTTCAAAGGACCAACGTACAGATGAGGTAAAAAAAGATGGCGATCAAGTTAAAGAAAACACCATGAGCAGACACATTAATGTTTCCAGTTACGTGTCGCTAGTGGTGTTTAACTTTTTACCGTTGTGATAATTGTATCTGTAGGCTCCCCGGCCGTCGGCTGGACCTCACAAGCTTCGAGAGTCTCTTCCCATGATGTTGATCCTTCGTAACAAGCTGAAGTACGCATTGACTGGTTCAGAAGTGACGAAGATTGTCAACCAGCGCCTGATCAAAGTGGATGGCAAGGTGCGCACTGATGCCACCTTTCCCACTGGATTCATGGATGTTATTTCTATCGAAAAAACAGGAGAGTTTTTCCGTATCCACTACGATGTTAAAGGACGTTTTCTTTTACACCGCATCTCTGCCGAGGAAGCCGAGGTAGGTTTTCAGTATGTTATGCTGGTGGTAACTTGCCCATAGAGTACAGTGGTAAGCACGACTCTCACTGACGCGAAGAATTCGTTTCCGGGTCAAATTTAGATTGTCTGCGACTTAAGCAAAATGCTGATTCTAATCTGATCGACCAAAAACTTGTGTATCTGAAATATTGAGCGCCGAAATTAATTTTCTATTTAAAGTCTAAATGTTCCAGTTTGATCTGAGTGTCGTTAGTCTAAATGGATATCGATGACAATGTGGTTCTGTTATCTATATTGTATTGGCATTATAATTTAATTTCTTCGGGTTACATTATTATTAGCTGTTGTGATTCATATAAGAGAACGTGGGAGACATTACTGATTGACCTCGTGCATAGCGTCAGTCGAGTATTTTGAACGTCTCCCAACAACAATGTCTGCTTTTGTCGTTTTGTGCTTTTTACTGAAGCATGTAACTAACCTACGGTCGGTACATAAAATTTTTCGCAATAACCACTAAAATTGTATGATGGGAACAATTTGGTTATAAACAAACGCATAGTTTAATATTAGTCATTACTTTGAATTCACGTCGGCATTGAATAATGATTTACTTATGAGGTCTGTAACTTAGCTTTGTGAATTCTTAAGATAATTCACGGAGTTCAAGACAGTACCGATAGTAATTAATTCGTTATTGTTAGGATACGCTTTCATAATTGTATCCTATCTATGCTCGAGTGATACAGTCAACATTTTTTTGTGTTTTGATCTCGTACTCCATACGATTCCTTACAGGGACTATCGAAGCTGTTTTATGTTCCGCTCAGAACAGAAATGGTCAAAAAGTTCCCAATAAAAAATGACCCCAAACAAGGTCGCTTGACAGAGTTGTTGAAATCTGCCGAGCATTACCCACTTGGTGAACATATGTAGTGTTTTCACTGCATGCACGCTGATTTTATGAAACACGAGCGTTCACTAACCATTTCAAAAACTATCTAAGGCTATTTTTTATTCAGAGCAAAAATATTCAAAACGCCTCCGAAAAGAATTTTGAAAAGACAACATACAAAATCACCTCACTCTGCTAGCTGTAACGAACAAGCATTTTTACTGAACGTTGCCTAGTAGCAGAATCGACATTAGGTAATTATTTGGGTTGATTTTTGCGTATTTAGATGTTTGGTGTTTTAGACATATGTATACCCATGCATATATGGCGTTCTGTTTACGATTTTAAACTCTTATTTTAGTACAAGCTGTGCCGCGTCAAGAAGGTCTGCCAGGGACCTAAGAAAATCCCCTACCTCGTTCTTCACGACGGCCGTACCATTCGCTACCCTGACCCTCTGATCAAAGCCAACGACACCGTCAAAATCGATATTGCCAGTGGAAAGGTCGATGATTTCATTAAGTTCGATTCTGGTAATGTTTGTATGGTTACTGGAGGTCGTAATTTGGGCCGTGTTGGGGTCATCACCAGCCGGGAACGTCACCCCGGTTCATTCGACATCGTGCACATCAAGGATTCAAACGGCCATGCTTTCGCTACTCGGTAGGCCATTCCTAATGTCTTAATTTCAATATACTGGAAGATATAACATAGTGCGTTATACGTGCTTGCTGGGTAAAACCGGGTAATCGCATGAGGCCAATTATATAATTATTGCGAAAAGCAGTTGGAATAATGAAGAAGATGGTGCCCACTAAAATAATAGAACACCACATATTTTTCACTCGCTTTTATGTATTTAACTCAGTTTCGTTTAGTGAATGGTCATGGTGTCCCGCCGGACCTTGATAGCCCAGTTCGACGCAAAACATGCCCTACTGGGTGAGAAAGGCTCCGATATGAATGTGCATCGTCGGTCGCATAACGATCCATTGTCGACGTTGTGCATTGCCCACTTTGCAAACAATAATTTCAGGTTTCTCTTGATAGTTAGTAATTATATAAATTGCATTATATATATCTTTTATCTGATTTTTGACGATCTCATTTCAGCCTGTCCTACATTTTCGTGATCGGCAAAGGTTCGAAGCCGTGGGTTACTTTGCCTAAGGGCAAGGGCGTAAAGCTGTCGATCGCAGAGGAACGCGACAAGCGACTTGCAGGAAAGAGGGCGCACTAAAACCGCACAGTGCGGTTAACACTTCAAACCATGGGGAGGCAAAAGCCGCCATTAAATAAACCTTATGGCTTCGTAGTACTGATATTGTTTTTCTTTTTTAGTGTATTTGTTACACCTGATTTATATTGTTTAGGCTTGTCGTATATCTTCAATTGAGTTCGGTTAATACAAGTCACAATGAATAAAATTAGGCAAAGAATCTTTGAAACTCAATTTACTGAACAATATAGTAGTATAAGAACTCCATTTATCAGTAATTGTTTAGTCCAATTTTGTTGTAGTCTTATCTGGTGAATACGAATTGCGATTTTAATTAACTATAAATTACCTAGCCCTATGAAGAAGTCTTATATATTAATATAATAATATATAATATTAATATAATATAGATATTAATTGAAATGTCAAACAATTTTTTCCTGTGTTTAAAGGGTTTCATCATTCTTTGATAGTGGTTCCTTGTAAGAGCATTTTCATCAGAAAAATACGGTAGCTATGGAGTTGAAGAATATCCACGTATCGCCTGACTGTATATTGTAACGATAAAGAATATCAATGATAAATAGATGCTCCTTTAACCATCAATAGAGGACAAAAGCCGTAGCACCTTATTCAGCGTGGTGGTTTGGACTCTGGATAAAAAAGTCAGGGGTCGTTGTAACGAATTTCGCCAATAACATATACTACACAAAAAATGTAAGTAAAATTCAACCATCAGCCTAGTTTTCATAATTCTGTAATAGCAACGAAGCCTACGCCAAACCGAACGTAGATCTCGAAACCGACCAGTCGTTTATCTCTGGATTCCTGCTCAAACTGTAGTTTATGGAGGAAGATGCCGACATGCGTAGACCATCGATCAAGACATCGATGGGATATCGGTGCCAATGGGTGTAACTGTGGTTGCATTTAATTGTACTAGCAGCGGCATTAGGTAGAAATCCTCGTAAATGGTGTAGATGCCAGAAACAAAAGTGTTTGCGAAAGATTAATGTCCGGTAACGCTGTCGAACTTGACAAAAGAGAGGCCAGATAAATAACGAATACCGCACAGAGTTGTCAATACCGTACTATGGCGATGAAATATATTAGCGCCTCTGCTGGTACTGATGTACCACGACGCTGATGCAATACGAAATGGTGGTTAAGCGAGGTTTCATACTTAAGCGATGTACTTCACCTTAGAGTCCCTTATATGTAGTTGGCCACTTAACTGGTCAGACCAAATGCTCAATACTACAAAGCCTACAAAAAGTGATCGTATTATGTGGCGCAGCATATAATTTGATCGTAGTCGGATCTGGAATAAGGTAGACAAAATGCGCCTATGTGAGCACAGGAATAACTAGTGGGTGTAGGATTGTTGTGTGAGTGGGAACATCACCTAACTCCTGGAGCTTTGCAAAATTTTAACTTGTTGCGGAAGGCATTATGTAAAAGTTATTTCAACCTTGATCGGAAACAATCCTCACCCCATCTAACTTAAGATATCAACAGGTTGTACCTTATTTATATAAATAGCTTTTTTTATTCTCAAATATCATACGGTATCTATGCAATACCTATACAATTTTGTCGTGATGAAATTAATGTAACTGTACAGTGTATTTGATAGACACACTTATCATACAACGATATAACAATCACCCGTGAGAATCCCTGGTGTATTTTTTAAAATTAAGAACGCCCTAATATCAAAAATTCTGATTCGACGAGAGCTAAAAACACTATATACATAAAAGTTGATAGTCCATAATTTTAACAAATGCCATAACGTCCTGTGGTTAATTGGTGATCACGTATTGGGGTTTATGCCAAAAGTATAAGATCGCGGCTAAAAATACGGCTCTATATGCATTTTAGCGTATTTAAATTTTGCTAACTCAACGATCTCACACAGCCTTGTCACTTCCCGAGGTTCGAGATTTAATGGGTGTCCAGTACACGCTGCTGTGGTTAGTAGTAGAAATGCCGGCCCATCAATTTCTTCTATACGGAGTGCTGCAACGGACGAGGCGAATAATAAAGTTTAGTATGTCGTGAAAGCGAACAAGTAACGTATTAGGCACCTAGCTACCCAGTGTTACGAAGTCCGCATGAATTCAGTATATTAAGAACGGGTCAATCGAGTTGTACGAATACATGATTCTTGCTATATAATCCCGATAATTTTCTCTTTGTGTAAGTTTTTACAATGCTAAATCGCAACATTATCAGCGTTGTAATGAAAATGATCCCGGTCATTTGTGCCGCATAGCTCCAGTCAGCAATTGACTCACACCTTCAAGTTGGTTCGCGTTTGAAGTCTGAACGTCTATATGTACGCAAATACCCGCCTTGACTAATAACCTACCTCGGGTGATACGCGTATTCGAAGCGTCGTGGAGGGCAACGAAGGCGCAAACCTGTTCCACTGACCAATCAAACGGATCGGTGGGCAATGCTCTTACAGGCCCCGGCGGAAACAACAGTGTTCGTTGTGGCATCGTTTAATCCTCACAAAGTCTTAAGAGAACTACATCTCACGAAGAAATAACCTGTGAATGGATGCGTAACCCACGAATAACAAACAGTGAGCTTGAAAATACAGTAACCAAGACTATGTGTTTCAAATAGCTGGCGAACCTAGTACGTCAAATTTGATAACACCACAATAAATGTTTCTCATAGTTTGCGTTCATACTGCTATACATAGACTTTAATGCGAATGTATTATCACAAAACACGTTGACACAACTTCTGGATTTCTGCAAGACTTTATACTAATACGCATCCTAGGCCTGCACAGGTCGCAGTTACAACTTGAGTTTTGTACCGAATGTGATAGGAATTTGGCCGGATCGTGAATTGTGCGCGTCAATTCTTAATAACTCATATGCGACGAACCGAGCTCACATCATCGCTAGATCAAAATAGAATTATAAGAATGTAGAAATGTATTGACCCCGTCAACAACATTTTTTAGCTGCTTATTTACCCATTTGTTACGAATCTGTGATACATCTTTATCTGCTATAAAAATCAACTATTTTCATTTGTGATACTGGTTCTTACATTGACAAACTGCAATTTTTCGTACCTCTGCTCTATACGAACTATTTAGAAAACCTATGTAACTTCCTTTTTATTATCCAAGAAAAATCACCGTTTCACTGGCTCATCTCTAACAAAGTGGGTGTTCAGTCTACAGCGCTCTGAGACCCTTCCCGATGAGCGTCCGCTAAACAGAAAGTGCTAACTACTTTTTATTGCAAATAGAGACATCTTTATTTAAAAAAAAAAAAAAAAACATGATTAACTTCGGTCCAAGTTTTGTTGTGTAACAGTAATGATAGTTTTCATGCAAAAAGATTTTTTTAGAAATATTATTAAACTCTGTCATTATTGTAGGCGATTGAAATTTTCCCGCCAACAACGACCTTCCAGTAGTTTCGATTTACTGTTTGCAGCTCTCATTCTGCTGAGAAGTGCCGAAGTTTAGGGTGCATTATCTGCGCCAAGTCTGATATCGAATTTTCGCAGTCCATTTGTGTGCGGTGCCTGCCTTTTGTGCCAGGAGAAATGGTCGACTACAGCAAGTGGAAAAAGATTGAGGTAAGCCGTTAATATTAGACCCACATGACATACTTCGTAACTCCGAGATAGCAGTACTGTCTATGAATAGTAATATTTAGGTACTAGGATAGCCAGCTGCACTGTTTCCGGCAACTGCGCGCAAGAAGTGTCGCTTATAATGAACTCTTTGCTATTATTCTGATATCTGAAGTATTATTAAAGGTTTTTTTTATCGAAGTTGTAGAACTGAAAATAACTACATGTATAACTACTTGCGGGCGTAGCGCTGATATCAATTCAGGAAAAGCAGTTTTGAGTACACGCGATTCGGAGCTTTTCAGTGTTTTCGTATTACATTTCTGTATAATTCTTGAACTTTACCATTTTATTACTGGGGTTATGAATGCTGTTGACAACGCTTTCCTGAACGGTCGGGTGCGGGGTTCCGACATCAAGAGTGTTAAGACTACTCTATATATAGAACGTTCTCGATAATACCGGTTAAGTCTACAGGCCAGTCAGTAAAATTAAGCACTTAATTTCGACTCGAAGTTTTAAGGTTTTTTTAATATCTGGGTATGGTGTTCCCTCTGCGACTACAAATAACATTTATTTGCATTATGTGCAAACATTTTTCGCGAAAGTTTTATGAAAGCATCATTTTTAAGTGGCATCTAGTGTTATTGTAGCATTTGAATGCCAAGTAAGTAGCTTTGTGTGAAGTAGTGTACTGTAGTGGCGCAATATTAGAGACATAAGGGAACGTCTCTTCAATGTCTGCTTAAGCCTATGAGATACGACTAAGGCCGAAATGAGGTCTAATTGGTTTCTTCTACCTTAAAGGTGTGAATGACGTAAGCGCAAGCCCACCTACTTCTAACAATTATTGCTATTACATGTTTAATGCACCACAGCAGGATTTTGTGCTATGGCTTTATTTCGCGTGCACTGACACTAGTGTTTTGTTTAGTCACTATGTACAGTGATACAGCAGACAGCTTTTAAGAAAACTACGCATCGAGCTTCATTTCTTAATATTAAGGTTTTCATAATAATAATAATAAGTGTCGTTTTGCTGTTAAAAGTTAATAAATAATAAAATAAAAAGGTATCGTATGAGGGTTTCAATTAATTAAATGGGATATAATATGACCTGACATTGTTTGTAACTCTGTAAAATTGCTCGGTGGCGAGAGCGATCAGCGAATCGACCTGTCGGTATTATCATGGTGAATGCTTCACCGAAAATTCCTTTTTTAAAACACAGTTAAGCGCCCATCAAACATCGATGAAAATTTTAATCTATGTAAATCTAATCCGATCATAACCTTTTGGGAGCTCCATAGAGTATCCTGTATCAATTAGGAACTTGATTTTACATTCAAGGACATTTTTACAAGGACAGTCAGAACGTTACCTGAAAGAAAGCAAGGCAACGAAAAAAAGCTTTCAATTTTAGTTGGCTACAGTGTTTAAATTTTAAGCTAATCTATGAGGTTAGGTGTCTAGCATTTGAACAGATTTACTCAACTTTGCTTATTCGTTGTATTTTACGTAGTTTTTTTATTATAGGTGCTACTATTAGTTTAACATTAGGTTGTAGGTTGTTAACTGAAAAATGATGTTCTTCGCTCTCTTCGCTCATGTTTCTTTTCATAGCTTTTAATTTGGTTAGCTGATAGGAAACTCTCCTTTATAAAAACCTTCCAATAAGATTGGTATGTAACCAAAAAAGCGCACTCGACTGGGCAAATTCGATCAAAAGGCGGGTTGAAAGAGAACTGTTGGGTAGAGAAATTGACATAGATTCTTTGTAGGCAAAACAAACTTATTAGTTGCTCTTACAGCATTTTGAAATCGGCAAAAGAGGTCAAGGTTCACTCTCATTATGTCTTGTAAAACTGAGAAATGAGAAAGAGGTTTTCAATTGCATATGACATTTGCCCACCAGCAAATTGAGAATTTCCCCTGCGTCACTGCTTGGATTATGTTAACTAACCCATGAGTTCCATGGATTAGTTAACTAAACATCCTACGATGATGTACTTTGCAGGTATCAGATGACGAAGACGAGACTCATCCGAACATCGACACTCCTTCACTCTTTAAGTGGCGCCATGAAGCTAGAGTCGAACGTGAAGCTGACTTCAAAAAACGAAAACAAGATTGTTTGGAGCGGCTAAAACGAGCTGAAAAAGAATTAAATGAGGCGAAGAAAGCGTGCGAAGGACTCAGCGGTACGAAGTCGTCACTGGGTTTAATATGCTGTTTATATTTTTCAACACAAAGTATAAATTTAGTATTATAATTAATATCAAGCCATTGACTTCAATTCTTTATTGGCTTTTTTCATTTCTCATTGTTAGTTATATCGCATCAAGCACAAAACTGTGTATTATAAGGACATAATAAAGAATTCAGAAATCAGAGTATTTTTTGAGAAGTTAAAGAAATTAATCACTCGTGGAAACGAATGGTTATTATAACATGTTTCTGACTGATCGTGTAATCGTTCTCGTGCGCCGCATTCTTTCAGGTAAAGAATTGGATGCAGCAAAAAAGGCTATGTTAAAGGTCTCTAAAAAACACAAAGAGTGCTTAGAAGATAAGACGAAGATAGAAAAGGAAGAGAGGGTGAGTAGAGTTTTTATCCAATACTTGGCTATGAAAAAGGTGTTTTAGCGTATCCAATTGCTATTTTAAATGCCTTTATACCTAATTCGATAACGCTTCGCGCTATCCTTTCTTAATATTCGATGCTAGATTGCAAATCGTGGTTCAGCATATAGTATTGAATTTTATTCGTTGAAATGCATTTTATTAGTTTGATAGAACCAGGTATTATTTTTGAATAACATCAGTGCGCTAGACTTAATATTGTAATTGCTTTTGCCATGTAATTTGCAGCTTCAACCGCTAAATGTTGACTCGCTTTCAAAGGACGGCTTCCAACGCACTTACTTAAACAAGCCTAAACCAAAGGACAACTCAATCGATAACCTGCCTGAAGAGGAAAAAGAACGTCTTCAGAGGGAGTTCATAAATGAACACGAAAAGGAGATCAAACAGTTTGGAATGCTCAGCAAATTTGATGACTCGCGACGATTTCTCCAAGAGAAGCCGCACTTGGTCTGCGATTGGTCGAATAATTATTTAATTATTTGGTATGCGTGATTTGATGATTCACTGGACACGTTTTGGTTTTGTATTATTCTTTTACATTTCTTTTTGAAAAATCCGCGTGAAGTTTCGTGTTATAGGGAACTGTAGTGCTCTCAACAAAAAATCTACGGTATATAAAATGCAACTTTTTTAAAATGTCGATTTTTATTGTTAATTTGTCAACAAGTATCAAATAAGTCAATGAGTTCATTAGTTTGTATTAGCTGAAGTAAGTCTCTAACGGAATAACATTTGTTGGTTGGAAAAAAATGTATTGTTCCGCTGATGAATGTTGAAGAAAGATAGACGTCCTTAGACCTGCACTGAACCCGAAAATAGATCAAATTCATTTTTTGACGACAACGGCTTTGATCGTTTCTGGCATACCATTAATAATAAGCGATTAGTTACCAAAACTGTACGTTCTTAAGCCTTTTTAAGCCTACATAAATAAAACATGATCTGTTTTGTGTTCTACAACAAAAACATGCACCGATCTGAAAACCGTACTGGCCTTCATTTTTGTTTTAGGTGTCTTAATCTGGAAATGGAAGGAAAGAGCCAACTCTCTCAACACGTAGCCCATCAGTCTACTTGTCTGAATTATATTCTCGAACTCGGACGACAACTTGAAGTTGATCCGCGAAACTGTGTTAGCTCGTTTTTTAACCGTATCCAAAATGCGGACAAGGTAACGAGTTTTTACTGCTTTTAGAAAATGTAATGACCGAATTGTCTTAAAAATTATGAATGATGGCGCCCAAGAAAGAGCTTATTTCTGAGAGTTTGATCGCAACTGTTTAAATTCGACACTATACAAGGAGTTCAGCGCTAAGGTAGCACACGTGATAAATATTGGCGGTCTGCTGTTTTCGTTCTATGCTAATAAGACTTGCTTTTTCTGATTTCAAAATTAGGTTTATAAGGACATGTTTGAGGACGAACTGAAGGCGCTCAATGGGCGAATTAAGAAACGAGCACAAGAGAAGCTCGAAATTGCTGTGCGTGAAGCCGAAGAGGAAGAGAGGGAACAGCGAATGGGTCCTGGTGGCCTTGATCCCGTTGAGGTCTATCAGACGCTTCCTGAAGCAATGCAAAAGTGCTTCGATACCCGCGACCTGGAAATGCTGAAAGAGGTCATTTCGAAGTTGGACACCGCTGAAGCCAAGTAAGTACATCAGGTAACTGTGTGGTGAATAACGGAAATATAAAATGGAGTAGTCTATTTTTAGGTTTAAGCTACTGTTAGGAAAGGAAATAACTGAAGATTACATTATTTTTTGGTGCCTCTTATACCTGCCATACTTTTATTCTTGCCATATAGTTATTATTTAATGAGCTCACTCCCTTACGAGAAGCCAAAATTTAATAATGAGCTCACTCCCTTACGAGGAGTAAAAAATTACGATGCCAGAGTTCGCACGACAGTATTTTGCATAGATCTTAACAACTAGATCAAGTTAAGTGTAGAAGTCTGTCGATAGAAGAGGTCTGTCGAGATATACAGAATAATTTTGGATGAAAGAGGTTCCACTTCTATCGTGAAATATCTAAAATATATTGATCGCTACTGGTGCATCACTAAGTTCGAAAACAAGACGACGGACCGATAACATCAAAGCTTTTTTGCTATTATAATTTACCAGATTCTGTTTTTATTACATGTTAGCTATTTTGCTTTATGCTAGAATAGTTTATACTGGTTATTATGGGAATATAATACACATTTTTATTGCATTGTGAATATGCTGTATGTGGTAGTCTTTTGCCTAAATCAAGTCTTGTTGCCAGTTCATCTATAGGATTGCTTTTTCTTTTTAAGCGAGTTGTATTCCATAAATTCTGATGTATTCGTAAAAATTGTAAAATATGTATTCGCTGGATCTGAATGCGAAAAAGTGAAGATGGGTGGTAGACTTTTTTAAAAAAAATCCTCGCCATTTGGAATAATTGATTCGTAGTAGGCCTTCGACGTTTGCGGGACTAATGTTGTTAAAAAAAAAAGCAAATCTACAGTTGTATAATTTGAAATGTTTCTATTTTAACGAAACCAGCTCGAAGAACAGTACATGACTTTGTTTATACATTGCTTACCTCAGTGAAGTAGACTTGGATTAAGATACTGCTAAAACTTCAAAAACACAATGTAGTGTGACCTCGGACAATGCGTCTTTTTTGTTCTACAACTATATGTACAATAGCATTGTAAAAATACTGAAGACTTTTGCTGCTTGAGCGAATCAGTGGAACTACAGTAATAACAAATACAATAATTAACGATAGTTGACTCGCAATTCCTTAAACAGATTTCATATTGACCAACAGTATTGGATTATCGATTCATTTTGCTATCCATTGAAGCAACTTAACAGCACATAATAGTAATAGATAAACAGAAATAGATAGATGGGTATATTGAACTTAGTCAAAAAAACGGTAAAAACAAAAACGTGGGTGTGTGCAGTATATATAGTTATCAACAACAGATGAGCGATTATTTTTCTGTATTGGAATCCGTCACCTTCCGTTTACGATACGTATTTAATACGATTAACAACGGAGCAACAAAAGGACAAGTTCCTTGTTGTTCACATTTTTATCACCAGGCGTTGCGTAAGTTAGTGTCAGGAGCATCTCTTGGCTGATCATGCGAAGTTGCTCGTCTACTCAGTGAATTCTCGCGGACGACTAGCACTTGGCAATTATATGACACCGAATATTCGACGAAGGTATCGTTAGCAAATACGATTGATCTGTTAGCGACCTGCTTGTGTCGTAGCTTGCACAACAAACACTGTGCTCTTACGGCAAGAAAAAGCGTAGAACGTGGGCCGCAGCAAGCTTAGCTCACTCTAGTTAACCGTGTGAAAAAAAAATGAAAGTCTTCTTGTAACAAATACTTGCATTGGATCAGTCATCAGTCAAGTCAGACGATTTTTTCATTTTTTCGACTGGCGGCCGGCTACGGGCGCGAAGTTTTTTCACAAAAGTAACCTCGTTGTAGGTTCTTAACTCTGAGAACGAGCCAAAACATAGAAAATTAGACAAAATCGCCCTGGTTGATTTTTCGTTGTTGTGAATCGGTAGCGCGGTAGTGGACTTGCGGTAAGTAGAGAGAAAGTAAAGGTCGATCTCTTTGTGTCTAATTACTGGTCATTTAAAAGATTTAACTGTTCACGCAATATGAGTCCGATAGTAATGCTAGCCAGTGATGGATACCTATTGCTCATTCAATGATTTAACCGTATGCGTCACTTATTTTTATAGATGAAACGTTATGCACGGACATGCTGTTTAAATTGCTGCTATCCGTGAGTGATGTGTATGAAAGCGACTGAGTACTTCCGAGAACAATTAAGGGCTTATCTCGAAAAGCGAAGAGCAGGACGAAAGTGTTCGTTCTAAGACGTAACTGCCTTCAATACCATGATTCAAGACATCGCATACTTTTTCTAAAAGCTTACGTTAAGCATAAAACTACAAGCGTCAACGGGGCTAGTTTTGGTTCTGTCATATGTAGTGTGGAAATCCAGACGCATTACTGTGTATATCGTTTCATGTACATGCTGACATAATGTTTGTTTTCTTTGTTCATTTGTCTTAAGACAGTGTTTTAGATTCATGATCTAAATCAAGTGGCCGCATTGGTTTATTGGCACGCCAGTGAAGACTGCGCAAATATCTTGTGCATTTCCTGAATGGTTCGGTTGTTCAAAATGTCTGAATACATCTATAATATTTGACCCATGATTACTGAAACATTTGGATCAAAAACAAAAATACGACAGCTCATCTGTGTATGGCACTGTAAATAGTTTACTACCGCAGCAAACGTGTACCTATTTATTCATTGTGTTGCTCAACCAAAACAGTGACAATGACGATAATTAACTATCGTTGACTTGTCCGCAGTGTTTTACGGTATTTGTTTACTATATTTATCAAATATTTCCGTTAGGTTTACTGTTCTTGTGTTCGTACGGCTCTATCGTTCTTCCGCTATTCGTACAGTTGCTCGTCATGGTGTCGTTTTTTTATCCCGAATAAGCTGTGCCACATTTTCTACAATATTTACGCATGTGATCCAGCTACCGGTATCGGCTGCAATAGCAGACAAAAGTTTCGTGAAGCGTGAGGCGAAAGATGACACATGCACATAAATTCGTATGGGCGCACAGTTATCTGCATTGCGTTTTATCAACCAGTACCACACGTATTTCGGTGTGGTTACGACATATAGGTGTATAGAATGTTGCTTCTGCGATGTACTTACCACAATACATTCACACTAGTATTTGTATATCTATATAATTTTGCCTTTACGTATGGCCGTTACTGTCATGGTTATTTTAATTACACAGATTCGTAGCTCCTTATTAAAGCTGAGATTATTTGGAAAAAGTGTTTAATGATACAGTGGATATTGTAATCGTGGAAGGCTCTCTCGTCATTTGTACATACGCTAGTGCTGATGACGGCAGTCGTCTCCTTCAGTGTTTTATCCTGTTTTCTCTACGGCAGCGGTGCCCTTCGTTCCACGTGTTCCTGTTGTCATTTCATGCCTGCTTCGATATGCTTGTGTAAACCATCTTGTTGTTGTTGCTGCTGCTGTTGTCGTACGCGGTTTATTGTGTGCGTGTTTGTTCGCAATGAAGGTTCACACGCTTGACAAGAAACACCGCATTACGATCGCGATGAATCCACTGCTGGTTGATCTGTTGGACTGATATGGGCCAAGCCAAATGCCAAGTGAGGTTAATAAACCCACCCAATGAGCAAATGCTCTAGCCTGCCTGCTTGACAGCCAGCAGCGAAGCAAACGCGACCGGAAGGGGGATTTTTTTTAGATTAGAAACGCAAAAACTGGAAACTAGTGAACAAGCTGAGCTTTTAAGGCAAACGAATATATATACTAATTACAAAAAACTAAAACACAACGTCGCAGGCCAATAGCAATGTGAAATATAAACGGTAATTTAAAGAGCGTTTCCTAAATAGAATCAAAAAATCCTGGTCGCTCGTTAACTATTTTCTTTATTTAGCAATATATAATATTTAGCTTATATAGCCTTATTTAGCTACGTTGTGCTGCATATTTTTCAGTGTGTTTTAAATGATTCTGTAAATGTTTGGCTGCAGTTGATTACACCTATTTGATATGCAGTATCCGTCGAGAAAAAAATCATCCTAATTCTAGTTCTAATCTTCGAAATAACCTAACACTTTGCGATTCTATAGAGTAACACTGTTAAAGTAAAAAAAAAAAAAAAACAAAGAATAAATACATACATAGTTTGAAACAGCAAAGAGATCGGTCCTGTTATTTTGCTGATTGTTTAAAAGTAAATAAGATTTGGAAATAAGAACTGGAAAGCAACAGGGTAGAGGTATTCATCTTCCAGTGCAGACAGTTTGTCGCCGTGTCGTTAATGGCTATCGCTATTTGGAGATGACGTGTGTACTATTATACATCTACGTATGTACCTAATACGTAATATCTAATTCGTATACATACTATGATCATCCCAATCAGTCAATTGTCGAAGCACATAGTAGCTATCGCGGCACTGCCGTTATGGGTAAACATCTCTAGACACGGCCAAGACTGCCTAACAGCAAAAATGGATAACAACAAATATGACCGGCATCAGTAGAAATAATTACTGGCCATGTATGTTTTCACCATTAAGACGACTTCGTTAAGGAGTCAAGAGGAAGGCTTGGAAGAGCCAAGAGGCTGTGATTTCTTCGGTTATAAATATGCGATACTACCCTTGAGCGGATACGTTACAATAACATGCAGCAGCCGAATGCCATCGTCATTCATTATGAGGGAAACATGCATGCACCGATATGTCATACTGATTAATAGTAACGTTAAAGGACTGAAAGGAACCAGTAGGAAAAAATGCAAGGCGAGCATTGGAAAAAATTGCACTCAGGAGGTCGTCGAAACGAAAGCTTTTAACCATGTGTGTGCTTGCGGTAGTGGTGGGATCTCGTCACATCTACCAATGCGTATCGATTCTACGAATGTAAATTTCATTAGCCTTGTTTTAGAAAAGTTTTGTTAATGTAGCAGCCAGTTAATGATATCTCATGCTGCATACAGTTAAATGCTGTTAACGTACATCAAGAATAAACAAGCAGTTTTTTGGTTAATTCGGCATAGACACACTCATCGCGTGCCCTTCATCAACAGAACAATGGGCGAAGTCGTTCGCCAATCTTGCAACTGTGTAGGATCACGTTTTAATGGCATCCTGCTCTCCGTCGGCTATAAATGTAAATCAGAATTTTGTCCCAACTTTTCTTTTATTAGATTTGTCTCTGAACTTTTGCTTCATTTTTACTATTTACCGAAAACATTCGTTGTATCCATTTACAACGCAATGGTTTTTACGGCTGTTTGAATCTTCGCAATGTTAATCTTTTCCATAACCCCGTATATTCATACGACCCTAATATTCGATCGTTACTACTACGTTGAGTATATGAGAAAAATGGCCCGTGCTGTGTACGTAACATTGTGTACTTCATTGTACATCATTGAATAAAAACCATAGGCAGATGCTATCTTGAGCAAACCCCCTTGCAATGACTACTAAGGCGCACATACGTTTTCTTAAATAAATTTTAAGTATCAAATGCCAAACATTGCATGGAAATGCTGCTATTGAAGTCGACGGGTAAATATTACCAGTGGCGAATGTGTAGAATCTCGTCGTGTCTTTCACGACATCTTGTAGCATATACCTTCTTATACCTTACGAAATTAAGAATCTCAAGGATTTTCATCCGCGAATCTGCGTGCTTCATCACGTCGTAGCCAATTCACCTCAATGAGTTAAAGGCACAGCAGCAGCAACGAAGAACGAACGTCTACTATCAGTACAATCATCATTCCGGGACGCCGCTATCTCCGTGCTTCTACTGCAGTGTTTGGTGCTTCTGGTGTTATTACACTGCTCCAAACTCAAATTATATCGCATAGCCTTCTGTGTTGATAGTGATACTATTGCCAAGTTTGTTTTTGTCGTGCTTTCTATCGCTCCAGCATTTGTTGCCCTTGATTTTATGAAGAGATGTTGTTACTCTTGTTTGACGGAACATAAATTGTATTAAAGCAATAAAAGCCTGCAGTAGTAAAACGCGCTGTTGAGAGCGATAAGCCTCCGTCGTAGCAGCAGCAAAACCAGCAGCAATGGCACCGAGACGGTTACGCAACGTTCGTTTCCCCCTGTAACACGAGGATGACAACGACGATGACAACAACAACAGATGTATCTGAAACAGCACTGCGAAGAACAAGCAGAAGATGCGATTAAAGACAGAAATGAATATCAAGTGCTCGAGCTAAAATACATCGTCGCTAGTAGAGATTGGTATCGCTGGTTAGTCCTTGCGTCGGCGACAGTGGCAGTGGCAGTGATGGACTTGGTTGGTTTTCCATTTTTCGAGTCCCCTACTACGGAATAAGAGAATAAAAATAGAAAAGCTCACTAATGGCAACGCGACACTGGTGTAGTTTTCCTGTTACCGGCTTTCATGCTTCTACAACAGCTCTTTAGCCCAATGTGTCCATGTTGGAGGGCAGATGTCGCCAATTAGTCAATTCGTTTTTGGCTTTTGCTATATGTGTCATGGCGATAAAAAAATGATCTGCTTACAGATACTTTAGGAAACCACATAACCGGGATTAAGACGCACTCGATGGGCGAGGTCTTAGTATTTGTGATTATGGTTTGACTTTCAGGTACCACATGGAACGCTGCATTGCTTCTGGTCTTTGGGTAGCTGATGCTTCAAGCGTTAAGGACGATGACGATGAGGCAGGCGATTGTGCCAAGGGCGATCTAAAGGAATCTGCCCCGAAAAAAGGCAAGGAATCAAAAAACGAAGCCACTGGACAAGCTTCTTCATCAAAGGACGGAGCGAAAGGCGAAACAGAAGTAGCAAAATCGTCTAATGAAGGAACGGCCGCAGCATCAACTAACTGAATCATTTTCAGCTATCGATTCAGCTGTAGTCGATAAAAGATGATCGAATCAATGGTAATGCACTTCCATATAGAGGCATGTAAGTGCACCTAGGTATTCCGGGGCACTATCTCTTCTCCCCCGTATTGGTTGGTTATACATATACCCTCGAGCAATTATTAGATTTTCTGCTCTAAGTAATTCGAAGAACCAATGTACTACGGGAAGCTTACAGGAAGGGTCATTTAGGAAATGCGAATGTACGAGTAGAATATATAGTAACAACGGAAAAACTATATGTCGGTTTAATGGACAAAATGGTTGAGTACGATGCTACTTCCAATTAATTTACTTAAACTGCTGGCAATAATAAAGCGACACGTGCGAATAGATTCAGGCCCATGGTATTCTTAGTTATCCTTTTGCACGATTTAGTCAACGATGGCACAAGAAGTTATGGGACGGGAAGGCAGTACTGTAAGACGAGTCGAAGAGGATATTGTTGGCTCCACAAAAATAACATCTTCAATATACATATATATATATATATATATATACAAACAAATACGAAATATATTGTGCTGCATGTATTGCGGCCAGGTATATATTTTTGTGGGGAGGGTAAAGTTTGTGAGCTTGTCCGTGACTGCAATGAATAGCGTCCCTAAATTTTATTTTATTAATATTTATATATTCATTGTATTGTGACATGTCTACGGGTACACTTTTAAAGATGACAATACACATGATCTTCCAACATGCGGCGTCTTACGTCACAAAACGTCAGCTGGGTGCAGAGAAAAAGTTGTAATGTTTTCGTCAGAATTAAAGATGATGAGAGCCGTTGCGGATGCGCTGACAATGCATTGCCTACTAGCCGTCCTATTCTCGATAATTAAAAAGGTAGGAACAACGGGGTCATTATCTAAAATCAACATGTGAAATACACGGGAAGTACCAATAACCATGGCAGAATATTCGGAAATTTTGATAGTTTCAATACTATTACTGTCTATTTCTAACAGCTAAAATTAAGAGTAAGTTAGTCGAAGTACTACTACTCAAGATTACTGTGGATACGGGAAAAAAAAGAAAACAAAGAAAACTATAGTTGTGCCTAGCTGAATGGGAACAGGAACGCAGTCACATGACAGCTGCTGTATAGATACATTTGTGGAACTAAACGCGAAACGCGGGTCAAGAGATTACATTAGATGAACGAAAAGGAGCTTAGCGGTAGTGTTAGGTAATGCAGAATTCAGAAGCGGTTGCTACAGTAGTGAAAGGTGTGTTGAGATGGGCTGCAATGTTAGTTCCTAGAAGGACAAAAAAGATTGCATCGATTCGATAATAATGTCAAATTATGTGAAAAAATGTTAAAAAAAAAAAACTTAACGAAACACAACATGAAGACACATAGATAGATAGATAAGAGTGCGCTAAGGTCAACTGACGTAACCTGAGAAAAAAAAACTGCTGTTGTATACACAATTTGTAAAAATAATACAAATAAATTAGTGAATAAATTAGTATATACATACTATCCCTGCATAACGGCAAGGCACTCGTTTCTTCATGTTGGAACGGAAAAGTAACATGCTTTGATAGAACGCTGTGAACGCAAGGAAGGATTTAAAAAGTTATTTAGCTATTCGATGAGTAACTGCAAATTCTAAACGTAGAAGACAGTTTCTTTGGTGAATTCGCCATGATTCGAAATAAATTTGTATCGTTCCATTCGCGATAATCATACAATAGAGCTACAATTTCGATTATTACACCAGTATGGAACGTAAGCAAGGGTTTACGTGTCTGAGAAATACAACTACTTATTTCCCTATACTAGACTACTAGTATTTCTTGGAAGGCTACCGCAATATTAGATTAACGTTAATCTATTAGGATCTTTTATAGCATTGTAGGGAACTGCTATGGCTTTGAAGAAATCTGAGTTTTTAGTTCCCTGCTGCTTCGTTAGCTGCACATGAATATTATATGAATGTGATCTGGTTAGGGACTGCTCTGGCTTTTTACATTGTTTTAGCTGTCACTGATTTCTATAAATTCTGTCAAAGCTGCTTTAATAACTGGAGGTCGAAAGTTTCTTCTGTCTGGAAAACTTCGACTTGCGACGAAAACCTTGCGATAGGTTTTTAAACTAATATTTAGTCAATTTCTAGGAAATATGCTAAAAGCAATCGGCTTATCTTTTATGCAATGAACATTGTCATTGTCATGGCTAAATACCGAGGCTACACTTGCCGATGTTTAACTATCCAATATGTCTTACGTCAGTTTACTATTTCTGTTTTCAACTGAAGGTATAATACTTAAGGATGTTAAATAAAAATACATGATTTTGCAGTTACATTCAAGATCGTGTGCGGTTACATTCAAGATAAGCCGCTATAAACACTTATCAGAATAAAGGACAAGCCGTACGATATTGTCCATAACACCATTTACTTCCACAACAACAAGTCTCTTCAGACGCGTTTTGGTTGAAATAGGGTTTTTTACTCGTAATATATTTTTTAGCATAAATGAAATATCTAATTGGAAGAATCAAATTGGACTACTACGCACAACAGTTTTGCTGTCAATATTTGTTTTCAAAGGAATTTACCCACTGCGATCTGAATGCCCGTGAACGTGTCAGTGCGTAATAGTAACAGCATTATAAACGTGTAGTACGAAATTCCAGGATATACGTAGGTTCGCTGATCTTCACATAATTTATCGAGTTGAGTTGATGTCCGTTGTGCCATTGCGACTTAGACGATCATTATCATCGACATCATGACAATGATCATCATGCTAAATAGTTCCCAAGCCGGCTACCTGGCGGACGAGATATTGAAGCATGCATGCGCAACTGTTATGTACCATCGACTGTCACCGTCACCTAGTATATTGCAATATCGTGAGCATTGATGGGCGCGCTTCCGCCATCCGCATGTCTGGTTTTGGGTCCGTTTGGTTCTTATTCGTTTTCTTCAATGCTAAATGCTTCCGCGACAACTCTCTAGGATGAAAATACGAGGATAATTTATTGTTCGGTTACTACTGGCTATAGCTATTGAAAAGTCGCCGACAATCGGTGATTCGCTGAACACTGAACCGAAATTAGCAGTGGATGAATTAACGAATAGACTGAAGCAGTCAGGACCAAGGAAAACGCATTTAGCAAAATCAATATTAGCAATGCTTGTTTATTAGTTGGCACTTGACGTTGACTGGCATCGCCCCTCTAAAACCTGCTACAGATAAATTTTTGTAATAACTAAATTATATCAGTGCTATTTCAGCGCCCTTGTGTTACTGACAACCGTTGCCATATATAGGGTAAACTAACGTTTTTTTCTGAGGCACATTCTTGTCTTAAGTGGTAAACTTGATTCTTCTTCGGTTTCTTACCTATACTGAACCCGTCACTGATTCTGCAACCGTGAGTTTGTTTTCAGTGCCCGATCCAGCCGCAAACTGCGTGGACTTTTGTTCTTAGTTAAACGAAGACATCGATGACCAACCAGCCGAAGTCAAGCGAAGCAAAGCTAATGAGAACAAAGATAGCATGTAGTAGTACCCCTTTGCTCGCTTATTTTCCTGCTACGGCAGCCTATACATCCGTGGCCTCTTGAGAACTTGCCACAACCATCACTATAGCTATCACTTTTGCTTTTTTGCTTCTACAGTCGAAAACCTGGGCAGGACCGGCCGCTAACCAGCAAGCAACTATCCTATGCAATCCTACCTGGTTGATTGGCGTCCTTCTGCTATCATTGTATCACTATCAATAAACCCAGACACACACATAGACACGCACTTTCCGCGCGCAATCAGAGTAATCACGGACCAGCGGAGCGAGATTACTATTACAAGCGGTAGTAGCAGCCTGCATAGGCGAGGAAGACCCAGACCCGGTTTATACAATACGAAAGTCAACAAAGAAATAGAGAAAACGCACGCATACTTAGTCAGACAACAAACTGTTATCATTTATTTGATTATATCGTTTTTTCACTCTCCTCTCTTGTTTTTTTATTTATTATTACCGTTATCGTTTTGCTCTGCATTTTTTAATTCTTGCTTCAATTTTTTGTATTTTACTCGGCTGATGACCCCTCAAATAGCTAGTCAGCTGGCTTCCATTTCAATATATTGGTTTATTTCCCATTTTTCCGTATCGCACGTCTATCGTCATAGAAAATCGCGGCGGTGGCAGTGACAATTTTCTGCTGTTGTCATGTTTGTTTCAATCGGATCGGTGTAGCCAAATACTTGTTGCCATTCATCCGTTCGAGACACGCACATAGTGCGACAGATACCACCAACAGCCAACGGTGGGCTACGACGATGTCCGCAGCAGATACACAGTTGAGTTGGTCATCATTGACCACCGCGATCACTAGCGCTAAGACTGCTTATTGTTGCTGGCTAGTTTTTATTATAAGATGTTCTTTTTTCAGACTGTTCAATCTTTTCACATCGTAATCATGATTCTTGTATTCGTATTTCCTCTAGTCATCATCATCAGCGTCTCTGTACAGTGGATCACTACAGGCAACGGCGATGCCGCCTCGGCACGGCCGCGTCCGTCTATTTACAAAAAAAAAGTGTGTAAACCTGTATGCCAATGTGTGTATATTTGTTTCATCACGAGGCTACATTTGTCCGTATGTATAGTATGTGTTTGTCTGTTCTTGTTGTTGTGGGCGTATCTGTGTGTCTGTGTGTATGACCATCAGGGTACTTTACCGTCAATGGTTCAATCACCGCTGCTATCTTGTGATCATCATAATAGATCTGTTCTGCCGCGAATCTTTTTCGACATCTGCGTTTTCCCTATGCTCCCACTTTTGTTTCGCCATATGTCACCCCGTTCACTATACCCCTTTTCGTACTGATCAATTCAATGAACATACAAATTTAACTTTTTATTTTTTAATTTAATTTAAAATTTAACTTTGCTACGTATTGGTACCACATGCATGCATGCATGCATGTATGGGATAAAGCATATTTTTTTAGTTTTAAAACGCTGCCTCTTCAATTCACAGAATCAAATTTACCTCGCGTCTCTCTATTTTCCCTCTATCTCTAACCTCTATTTTCGTTACTTCTAGATCCGTCGTCTAAAGTCCAAAACACGTCTAAAAGTCACCCCTATATGTGTACCTTCCAACTACATTTGTAAATTTCCCTCATATTTTGCATCCTTCTGCCAGCTTCGGCTACCTTTTATTGTTATATGCACCTCGTTACTCTTTTTTTGTATCATACGTTTTGAGTGGCTTTAGTTCCGTTATACTATGTACAATAAGTTGGAAAAATAGCGCGACGGTTATTATGCGTCGAAGAATCGTATTTGCAATTAATACGGTATATGCCATTTGTCTTGCGATGTCGACCTATTGTCGACAATTGAGTTGATTCATTTACACAATTAAATTTTGTGAGTTATAGCCATTTTCTCTAGCGTTCCTTGTTAATTAGATTACTCGTCTTCTTATATGAAGTACTATGAACAAGAAAATTGGCGCTATCGTAGGGGTTGCACAAACGAGACATGCGTTCTTTCGAAGTGCGTTGCGACGCCAACCGGTAGCGTCTTAATAGCATTTATTAATGTATTAACCTTATGGGGGCAATTCAAGAACATTTCGACGGGATGATTCAGAAGTGGGCAATGCAGGAGGGGAGCAAGGGGATGAGGTGGAATTCATAGTTGTCAACCACGTGGAAAATCGGACTGATAGAAACTATTCCTCATCTTTATGTCTAGGCTACCATCATCAACGCGGTTTATAGTTATCGTATCTTTCTCATTGTTACTGTGCGATGTCTCATAGGGATATGAGGACGTTGCGAGAAAGTGTTCAAAATATTAGTGGTGCATTGTAGTTGTGAGGTTACCATTATATATTGTTGCTGGAAGTTTTTGGTCTTTGTAGAGATTCTCATTTTCGTTTATATTCTTAATTAGATATCTGTTTCGTATCAACTGTATAAATATCATATAGAAGGAAAAGCTGTGTGTGGAGGCAAAATCTCAATTGTGGTAAGGGGTTTCACTCTGCTACCTGCTACCCTTTTCCAATGTGTACATTTGTTTGTATCTCTTTCCATGTCATTTCGAAATATTGAATGGGTAACTTCTCTTTTGTTACCGTAATATAGAGAAAGTTCACAAACGGTGTGATTGCAGCAGTTACAGACTGATATCGTATTGAATGCTTTATTCAATAATTGTAATGAATGTTTGTTGTTGGTTGTTGTCGTCTTGGCAATAGTAAATGAATGTGTGAGCTTGGAATCTTTGTCTATGGGGATTTGTCAGTGGTCGATTATTTATAATTCTTTCGTGTACGTTCTTTCTATAATTATCATCAGTATCATCATCAGTATTATAGTAAAAACTAGGTCGAAAGTGCTCGAAAGTCTCACTGTGCTATTTACATAAAAGGTATCATTACGTCTGTCCACTTTTTGGTGGCATCGAGGAAGTTATCCGCCTCAGATGAACATCAGAATCACCTCGTCCTATACGCAGTTGTTCGGTTTACTAGTAACCCCTCGAGACGATCGACTTTGGAAGCAGCGTTGACCCAGCTGGAGCTAATCGGTTCACGTCGAACCATTAAAAGTCACTTCCAGCATCTCTCCTTTCTTTCAGCTGGCCAAACCACAGAAAACCCTTAAGGAACTGTTTACCTCATAGAAACAAAAATAACGACATTTTTACATTCTATCGAGTGCGCTCGTTAGTTTAGAACGCCCGAAATGTTTCTCAAAGTGCTCCAAGATCGAACGTCGCGGGCGGGTGAAGTCAATGGTGACTCGAATCGAAAATATGCGCGCTTGAGGAAACCCAGAAATGCGCACATTGAACTTCTTGTAAGTTCAATGTGCGCATTTCTTCATTTTTTCTTCAGCTGGCTGAGTCAAGTGACAGACTTAAGTACATACAGGAAGGTCCCAATTATCTGTTTTGTTTCTTTGTCTAAATCTCTTAGTCATTTACACTCTTGTTGTCTCTGGCATGTTTATAAAACGTATGCTTTACTCGATCTCTGCACTAATTTTATTTTTCAACTTCACGAAAGCTTTTCGAAAGCAATGTATTCAGATGTTCTCGTACCTTCTTTCCCCTTAGTTTCTTTTTCTGTGTTTATGTACAAAATCTACAGAACAAACCCGAAGAGCCGGATCTAGGCCGTATATATATATATATATATATGTTTGTAGTACGGCCATCGAGATTCGACTAGGAACAATAAATAAACAAAAGAATTTCTTTAATAATCGTCTTTCATCTTGTTCTTTGCCCTTTCCTCTCCTTCTTATTATAGCAAGATAATAAGTAATAATAACGACAATTATCATTGTAATAAATACTGGAGACTGCGCGTTGGCAACTGCGCGATCACCATACGGAACATGGTCGCATGATCGGCAACCGTCCGAACGGTACCCTCGAGAACGCATCATTTCATTTTCCTTCATTATATTATGATTATTCCTTATGTTTCATTTTCTTTAACGTGGTAGTGTCACTGGCATTTAGTCGTCTACGAATGGTCGCCATATCTCCGCTTGCTTCTGACCGATCGAACTTAATCTCTCTCCTTGATACTTGCGATACTCCTTCATGGTCTCTCGACTTTAAGATTTGTTATTAGTAATTACTGTCTGTTCAATGATCTTGACGTATCCTTTAGGTATTTGCTTAACGTCTGTTTGCTGAATTTCATGGTCCTCTTCTTTTTCTCTAGTCAACACGTGGTTGTCATTATCATCTCTATGGTCGTTTATCGCTGTGGATGTGTGGCTATCCGCGTATCTGCCATGCCCGCGCCGCCTATTTTTAGTCTCCTGCACTCTGCCTATGCCTGCCAGCCTAGTGATTTATCTTCTGTCTTCCATAGTATCACAACAATATATACAACGACTATAGCTCCCTCCTGCTTCGGAGCCCGACTGGTGCCCTGCACCCGCCTTTGTGCTCATTTCCACTATTTGCTTCATTTCGATTGTTCCTGGCATTTATCTGCACTTATTTTCAGTAAAAACACCATAATCATCGTATCCTTTATGCACTAGAGTTGTTTAGCGCATACCTTGTGTTTTCTATACGGCATCGGTATCTTTTCGTTCTTAAATCTTGTTGTCCTTTTCGTCCTGTTCTTCACCTTGTTCGGGATATTAATACACATACAGCCCTTACGATCCCTCTCTGTGCCAGTTCAGCTTGCGCCAGGCGGCCGGCTTTCGAGCCAGCTTCGCCGTTTCTGCTTCGAACCGTTTCCTGCAGTCCTATATTTAAAACTTTTAAGATCGACGAAAAAGTAACGTTGTCAAGATAGTAACACCATTTATGTAGGCCTTCGCCGTTGTCACTGTAATGCTTCTAGCCCCCTGTTGAGGTTGCTACGGCGATGATAAAGCCGAACGTTGAATTCGGGCCACCCGAGCCCAACAGAACAATGCAGTCAATTTTTGCCCACAGATATTTTTACATTCCTCTTAATTTAGTGAACTCTTTTTCTTGTTTCAGCAGTCCTTTTCATCTGATCCATCACCACAGGAATCGTAACCGTCACACCAAACCTCCTTGGGTACACAGCGTCCATTGGCGCACTGGCGAAAGTTATCCCCGGCGCAGAAGGCGTCGCAGTTAGGCGGTTCGTCACTGCGATCACCGCTGGGACAGTCAGCAAATCCGTCGCAGAAGAATGTTCGGGGGATGCAGGTGCCGGCCAACTCGCATCGATGTTGGTCAGGCGGACATAGGCAGTTTTCTTCGTCGGAATCGTCCCAACAGTCGACGACGCCATCGCAACGTTTGCCGACGGGCAGGCACGAGGTGGCGTTGCCACAGCGGAAGTGTGTCCCCGACTCGAGGCCGGCGCACTCGCAATCGCGCTCGTCGCTCGAATCGTAGCAGTTCGTGTGTCCGTCACACCGGTTCGTGTCGGGGATACACTGGCCATTCCCGCACTTCCACTCGTCTACGTGGCAACCTACAGAATAGAAAACGTTGGTGAGACAAAAAGGGCGAAACAGACAGCACACACAAACAACAGTAATCGGTTAGATCACTACTAACTACTTGTAGACAAAAGCAATTTTCAATTATGTACTTATATAAGACCGCGGCAATAACGATGTATGCGCACCGGTACAAGCTGATTCGCTCGCTTATTGCACGGTTTTAGCGTATTCTAATATAATTACGATTCGCTAACGCGTCTCTAGCTAATTCGACATAAACGGGTCCTAGCCCGAATAGTAAATAAATAGAGATCAAGCGATGAAATAACAGACGCCTAAAGACAAAAAGTGGGAGTTTTATGTGATGGTACAACTACTATCAGTCTGTATAATGCATAACCCTGATATGCCGATGAGTATCAAAATGGAAACGATCACCGAAGACAAACACCAGCTATCGATGAGAAGCGATAATGTGACATTTAGAAAAAATATCACTATCCAATTATTATATTGGTAGTGCTCGCTCGTTCAGCCGATGCCATTCGACGCGTCTATGGTAAGGGCAGCCCCGTAAAGATAATTTTCACCCTGGTCGGATTACAATCTATCGTATGCGCAAATGTTTGTCCGCGTTTTGAGCCTGGGTTCACACGGCCGAATGGATTTGGGTATCGTCGTCTCTGTAGGTTTTGGTCGTATCTTTCTAAACATCGTAAAGGTGATCACACGAAGATAAAGCTTGCTCTCGATTATTCGAAAACGCGACGTGTCTCAGCTCGTTAAGATACTATATGGTGTAATGTATATATGTATGCATGTATATATTATGGCGATGGTACGCCTTTGTCTCATATCATCGAGTCAATGTTGTCCATGTATAAGACTAGGATATGCCATTCGTACGTAAGCGTACGTAGCAAATAGTAACGCGCAAGATCTGTTCACACACGTACCTATACAGACACTATTTAAAGGCAATAATAGGGATAACATCAATAACAAAATTATTGACTTCGATACCTACTTTCATTTGGAAGGTCGCCATTCGTGCCGGTGCCGCCCGTAGCAGTAGCGGCTGCGCTCTTGTGAGCCGCCTCTGGAAGAATCGGCGGCTGTGGTTTAGGTATATCGCTGGGCGGTGGTGGAGGTGGGGCGGGAGTCTTGGTTTTGTTTGCCCCCGAGGGCTGTGCATTTTCTGGCGGACAGCGACACTCCTCAAACTCGACTTCTTTTCCTCCGGGACATAAGTCCCCGGCTCGCTGTGCGAGACATGTTCGCCGTCTCGATCGGACGCAGATCTGATCAGTCCGAGTGCATGATGACCATGCTGACCAAGCCGACCAGTGTGCAGAAGGCTGTGACGTCGACGTGGGAAATACCGTCATAGAACCTGCCTGGCGCACCACTGAGAATTTGAGAGAGCGAACATCGACCTGAAAGCCCGTGGGTAAATGCCCATGATCCTGGCGTAGCACGCCATAGAAGGCCTTACTGACTTCTGCTAACGAAACGCGTCTATTGAACGTTAGCCGCGTCTGTACGACCAAACCTTCACGAAAGCTTATAACTTGCGTGTGATTGTAGTCGTCCGACAGCTTTCCAAGGTAGAAAAGTTCATCCATCTGCAATAACACGAACACAACTTCGATGTTAGATTTGCATTGAGTCATTCAAACCGGTCTATATACAGTATATTTATTTACTTATAGTCTTTTTGATGTACGTCGTGTTAATAAAAGGCACAGAGTAAGCTCGTATCGTAGTCTTTGACAATAGTTCACACAAGCAAAACCAATTGACTTGGTGATACTGTCTTTTTATGCTTGTGACAATAATATCTGGACATACTACATACATAAATATCCAGAACGCGTGGCGTCGTCTTTCAACCTGTGCTTAATTCGATCCTTTTTTGTTCGATGGATATATACATGCCATCATCATCACATACATCACCCTCACGGGTCATTCTTTCATCATCATCATCTTTACGCAAAAGGTTTTTGTTTTACAAGTTCCACTTGTTGAGGCGAAACGTTGTCTGATTATAAATAACAAACACGATTGAGAATGACCCACAAAGTTAATTTCATTGTCTCTATATTCTTTCTAGTAAGCTATTGGGTCTACGACTATAGACCAGTCTACAACCAAAGCTGTTTTTCCTTTTACAGAACAAATCGACCCTCCGACAATCTGCACTGACACTGGGGGATCGAAACCGGTTGGCCATCATCAAGTACTAGCTGACTGTGCAAGGTCCTGTTCGCTCGTTTTTATCATTTGCTCTTTACTTTTCGTTCTCTGTGGGCTCTTTTTTTCCTGTCGCGTCAGTTCACTTTCGCCCGTTTCTTCCTTCTCTTACAACAAAGGACATCATATTTCAGCGGCACATGACGGCCGAATTGACCGTGGCCTGTCGAGGACAAGATATGTTGATAGGGATAAATTGAGAGAATCGAGAAAAACGGACTAACTGGTGGTAGTTGGAAAATTGCTCGGTAGGGCCTATGAACAGGGGATTCTGTTAGAACACGGAAGAATCAAAAGGAGACTCACGAGACTGTAGCACACCGGGGCGGGAACTGAAAAAGAAACCGAGTTTGGAGAAAGCCCCCTGCAACGCAGACGACGAATAGTATAGAGCCGATGGGCTTGATGGCGGCTGTCCACTGTTCACCCAAAGAAATCAAAATGGAAGATGGTAGAACGACCGAAACACTGCTGTACTGTGGGACACCCTTTCCGGTAGTGCTAACGTTTTTCACGAAGTGCTTGCACGAAGACCGGTCCACAGGCCACCAACTTCTCTTCTAAGTGAGAAGGTGCAGCAACTAGCGTTAGCTCGTGAAGACATGTTCCGATTACATGGGTTACAAGTAAAGATGGCAGTTAAGAAGGGATGACAGCTGCTACAGTCGATGCCAAGAATGTGTAGCTAGCTGCCTTTTATTGCCATACTTATCTCATATCATCCGTTATTTTTTCTATTCAGTCACACTTTGCTGATGAAAACCAACATCGGTCTTCGAATTGATGTTCATTTTCCAGCCAAACGTTCTAGCTTATCAGCAAAAAAACTCAACAGGCGCAAACTCGGTTCGCGCAGAAAGAGGAAAGCAATATTGTGGATTGCTAGTCCGCATGAAAAAACAGTGTTGCCATTACATAGATATGCAATGGCAAAAAACTCAGTAGCCACTAGTTGACCGCCGCACAGCCGATAAACATGGCGCCACATGCAACGACTCTTCGACAAATGATACGATAGCGATATATACATAATATGTGTACTTTTGCGTTGGTTACTGGGTATTGCAGCGCTACGCTGTGCTCTCTCCACTCGTCGCGGCCATGCAGTGTTTTCATCTGCAGCTAATAAAACGACGTCGATAATTTACGACTCCGTATTTGGAGGAGGAGGAGGAGGAGGAACTTACTGACTATTTGGGGATTTCGATCTGGTGACCGCCAGCAGGCGTCTGATAGTGCCATATCAATCGGACGGCAACCGTTGTGGTGACATTGGGACGACTTCGTTTAGCGCGCTGCTGCGTATTCCGGTCAGCTCCGGTTGTGGACAAAAGTAAACATACATACACGTACACTCAGATACACATCTCTCAAGACACAAATTCTTCAGAAGATGCGTGAAGGCCCCACATCATTCATTGACGGAGCGCTCGTCGACGGCGACGATAGCAGCCAGCCGAACCTATCTCTCTTTTACTGACCGCGAGCCATTGGCTTGCTTGATGGTTTAAGTGTGGATGTGCAAAGCCGTTATCGAAAACAAAATTCAACTGATAGAACTGGATTGGTCGGAAAGACGAAGCACACTCGAATTAATGGCGTAGCGTATCGTCAAGTGAAAAGGGTGTGCGAAAGATACGTGGAAATGTACTATATAATAGTGTTCGGTCTAATCCAACACATAGGAATAAAATAAGGTTGATAACAAAAGAATAAATTGCTAGATTTTAATAATAATAATAATAAAACTTACAGCTCGCTTTAGCTCGGACGCCAGACTCTTGAAAGGAAAAGCATTTGGGTTATGAAGATCGGGAGTAAATCTTCGGTTCACGATCCGAAAATTGGCATCCACAACGTTTGATGCTTGTTGAAGGTGCGACGGCGGCAGAGCCATCGATTCAACATCGACATCCTGCGTTTCCGCAGGCGCTTGGTAGTGAAACCGACTCGAAGAGCCCACCGTCTGTATCGGTGTTACCGATCGTGAAGACTTTTCCTGATTTTGGGCAATACCTGAAAATTCAAGTTAAAATTTGTCAGTGATATTTTTCCCAATCTTTTTATATATTTTAGTCATTATTTTTATAGAATTTCTTCATAGGATCTGCACGACATGAAAATCCTCACTATTAAAGATTCATATCCCCGAAACTAGTTCATCACTGAGTTCATTACCAACTGCAATCGCGCTAGCATCTTGTATGAACGTTGTGTTGTATGTATTTTGCCGACTGTTTTAACCGGTCCGTTTTTCCCTTGTGCCGAAAATACTATGTGTGTGATTCATCTGAGCGGTTCACTAAAAAGCCCGCTCCGCCATTTGCCCCGCTGACTGCACCACCGGGATGTTACATACAGCTTGAATAAATCTTTTATAGAGTGCAGCATAGCTCAACAGGGCCTTGAGTCAGAGGAACTACCAATTTCGCTAGGCGACAATCAAACGACCGAAGTAGTCAATGAGTTAGCAAGCCCGCTTCCGGGGACGCTGTGGAACTGACGGGATGGGTTGTCCGGAGGCAACAGTTCGCGCAGCGTATCTCTCATGGGAGCAACACCGTCAACTGTGCCTGCTCTCATCGGCGTCAGGTACCTAGCTAGCTCGGTAAGTATTATTTGTGTACCTGTGTACTGATCGCTAGCTAACGAACCAGCTAGCAGCGTTCTCTGCTACTCCAACTGTATGTAACCAATGCACAGATTAAGCAGCAGACCATATCGTCTTCTCGACCAACTGCTCGTCTCGCGAGACTGTCTTTCTCTCCTTTCTACAAGTGGCTGCGCCCACCAACACGAAAGAATGCCCGCAATGGCGGTGAGGTTTCCTCAGGGAAAGACATACCGTGGGGAGGCAACGGCTCTAAGGAATGGCAAGCTTAAAGTCTTAAAGCGCACATGGCCATCAGCGAATAGAGAAGCTGCTAACATACAAGTGTTACTGCGAGGGAATAACGGTGGAAGCTCGTTTGACGATGCGATGCAACAATGATGCTTGGAATTGTTTAGTACAACCTTTGTATTGGCTATAATACGACGAACAAAGCAAGGAACTGCCATGAAGAAAGTTTTTTTTTCGTTGAACTCTGATAAGACCTTCTCTTATTAGCATTATACGATTAAAGGAGCTATCAAAGTACGACTGTATTGGAATCTTTGTGGCGTTCCAGCCCTACAGTTATACGAACTGGATCTTCGTTTGACTATTCGTCACCATTTAGGCTTGATTTGATTATAGTTTTTTATCGAAGAATAATTATACGTCTGTTAGTAGGGTCAACTGATGGTCTGAGCATAGAAACGATTTCGTCTCGTCGAACTATTAGTAATTCTGTATTCGTTTGCTAAACATTTCTACGCGACGTAATCACGCGTATTAGTCTGGGCAACCGCAGTGCTACGCCTTCAGTACAAACATATACGGAGCCAGAAAAGTCAGCATGTTATCGATACTTTGTGGCGCTTCGACAACAAAAAGAACTCAAAAAGAACTCAAGCGAAACATCGAAAATCCTAACAAACAAACACCGACAGATCAGTCGAGAATGATGAGCAATCTCAGCAATCCGTTACGAAATAAAGCAGGAGAATTCAAAAAGCTTTGTCAAGTCGTGTTATTTTCCAGTCGAACCAGCGGGGGAAGCTGCTGCGCGTGCATATCTCGTCAGTGAATCAGATTTCGTAGCGTGATCGGCACGATAATAGATGTCGTCTGACATCGCCTAGTCTCAGTACCGTCGCGGGGCCATGGCCACTAGCGTTACAAACACCATCGCCATGTTGCACCGCAGCGCGATGCCGCCGATGGCGTCAATTCCACTACCAGCATCGAAGGAACAAATCAGCCAGTCAACCATGGAGCCAAGCAGCCCGGTAGGAGATCGTGGCTTAGACAAGATCACAGCCTGTCTTTTCTTACAGCAGCGCGACGGGCGACATTTTCGTGCTGCAAAGAGCTCGTTTTAAACGGCAGGAGCAGTGGCAGCGGCCAATCTAACCGTCCAGCTTAAGGGATATAGATGCTCAAAGCGACAGCCTGATAGTCAGTGAACACTGAGCGATACCGTGAGGGGCAGGAGATTAAGGAAATCAGCAGACGTCGACGTAGTTGACCTGATCAAGATTCATGATTTTCTCATTCGGTTGCGGCCGCTACAGCTATTGGTGCTCTGGTTGATCCTCGACGCTGTTTTCTTCTATGTCCGCGCTAACCTTTTACTGGTGCTACCACGGTTGTTCTCGCCACGCAGATAGTGGCGTAATTCCTCTACTTCTAATACTGCACCATCGTTACCGTATGTCCGGCGGTCGATGCGGATTGCCGGTGTATCGGCCACCGAACACACAGTGTGTCGCGGTCTCCTTAGTATGATTTTCGTCACCGGGCCACAGACAACTGTGGGGTGGGGGGGATTGCGTTTCATCTCGTTTTTTTCCAATGAGCTGTGCGGCAACTGCGGCGGCGTCGGCGCTATCGGATATACTTTGTCGCATAAGATTCTCACTGAGTTCCAGAAGCCCTCGGCAGATGTCAACCTTTTATTCTACACGTGGCACCACACGAACGAGACTTGTTTCAGTGACCCCCCTCCCCTTCTTCTAAGTAGCTCCTGTGGGCAGCTTCATAATCCACGATGCATGGCTTCGCCGTACGACATGCCTTCTGCGAGAGATAGTTTGTCCGACATGACCGGCTGATCAGTAGGACCTCTGCCGTTTACGAGATGCGGGCTATTCAGCGAGCGCTCCTACTGCCACCGTCAGTAAATCAGACGTTGATTAGCAGCAACAGCAAACATGGCTGCCGTGAGCTGGTGTTAGTAAGTTCCGCTTGTACAAATCGCCTGCCAATGCGCAGAGCAGCCGTCGGCAGCAAATATAAGAGGATCAGGTGCCACCAAGTATACGTCTTTGACGCCATTGTAGAAACAAGCATTACCTTGCTTACCCGCCAACTTTGACTGTTGTAGCATTAACTGCTAAGTGTCCATTTAGCGTTTTATTACCGTGCGTTTGTGGAGCAAGCCTCTGTGGTAAAAAAAAAAGTATATTTATATGTAAATGTTATTATACGATACGCAATACGGGCAGTTAGGTTGAACTTACTTTGAAGCGAGGATGACAGGGATTGGCAAATGACGAGAAAAGAGATAGCAAAATATCAAACCTAATAACAACGCAGCCATTTTTTTTGCTGGCTTAATGTGATTATAGTATGTGCACAGCTTTCGGCGGAAATTTTTGGCAGGCTTGTTTCCACTAGGGTGTATAACGCTTGGTCAGGCGTAGCGGCGAAACGAGCCGCAAAACTTTGACATGGGCAGCCAGCTTGGACTCTCTGCTGGTTAAGCCAGGACGAGCTGCTGCATATCTGCAAATACGAATTCAGCCGGCGGCGGGATGGCAATTCCCTTGGAACCAACCTAGATCGCATTACCGAGAAAGCTTTATGCCGCGCCAGCTATTCGCCGTTAGAGTCGGTGGCCGCGGCCAAGCGATCCCTTGCCTGCCGACATGTCCAAGTACGAGATAGGTGCACGGGCAGGCACGTTTGATGGTTGGTTACTGCTTGGCGGCGGTTGCAGCAAAAACAGCAGCAACGATCGCAGATAGGACCCATTCAACGTTAGCCGCCGTAGACGCCAATGCTGCCGTCCACGCCAATTTCCACATGGTTTCTTCTCGAGAGTTTGCGCTCGAGTTCGCATCTCTTTCGATCAACTCATGAGTGGATTCTTTTTAGCTAGCAAGACGACGAAAAACACAACGAAGCCTCGCTCTACCATCATCCACTACTACTGCTGCGGATAGAGAATCTGGCGGTAATCTTATTTGCACACCCACAGTCGGGCCACCCAAAGGGACAGGCGATCTGTCGCTGCCCAGGAAGGCCGGCGGAAAGACCCATTGTCTTTCGTTCCTACCGCAATAGAACTCGTTGCGGTAGCGTCAGTAGACACATCGGCACTACTATAGCAGACGGCAGCTGCAGTTGCCAACAAATCTTGCTGTGTTCGTAAGTTACGACGCTCCATAGACATGGAGTGCCGGTTACTGTGTATTGTTTCCTCTATCCTACCCTGCCTATCTTCTCTACCTCACGATTTTTTTCACTGCCACGCTCTCCGCTTAGAGAGCAGAGCCCTAGATGTGCTGCGCGCGAGCACGTTGCCGGGTCCAGAAGTACGACGAGATCATCATGCGCGTCCTTTCTTCACAACAGCCAGCAACAGCTGTAATGGCAGCGGTATTGTGACACTGCTGTCCTGATCATGCGTTGAAACCGAGACGATTCAACGATGATTTATGTCATCTCATAGGAAGAGTAGACTGTTTCCCAACGACACTGCTCTTGGCCCGTGCCGACAGCCGCTAGACGACCCCGAGTTTGTCGACTGACAAACGTGAATGAAAACGACTGTAAACTGAGACAGGAAGAGCGGGAAAAATCGTAGGCGACAGAGACAAGAAAGCGCTAACGACCTTCCACCGTTGTCTCGTAGGAGGATTTCCGTAACTGTCTAGGGTTTTACCATTGTTGTCAACTGTCCTGTCGTTGCTATCGTCGTCGTCGTCGTCGCCATCAACGGTGTCTTAGTTCGACAACGAGCAGCCCAGAGCAACATCATTGTCATATGAAGCGTCACATGCACATATACTAAGCCTATTTCTACTACTTGTTAAACTCGCCGTCTTGATAATAGCCCATTAACCGAACACCTCACAATATTCCTCCAGCAGCATAGACTTTAATATACGTTCCTGGTATACTGTTTTCCCAACATCAGTACAAGAGGGAAGGCCACGTTAAAAAACATATATGAGTGATCACGGGCGGGTGACGAACATTGTTGATTCACTAGGTCACCGACTAGGTCATACCACAACTTACCACTACGCGTAACCTCATATATCATCACCTAGTTGAGCATCTGCGTACCTCCGCGTGCTGGCGTTTCGGTTCATCATGTCTACTAACTAACATTTTTTCGCGCCAGCTAGCCGACAGAAACACA